AAGACCTCGAACCGTTTCTGAAGCAAAGTCAAAAACCGGTTTCAATTCCCTCTTTAATAGGAGCCGTCACTCAATTAAAAATGAAATTTGGGGCAAAGTGTGGAGGGAAAAAAACTCCCTCCAATAACAAGCGCACACGTCGCCCCTACACATACCTACATTCCAAGGACATATAAGGCCCATCATGCTCAAGCCCAAATTGAGGGTATTTACAGCCCAAGACCATTGTTATTTGTCCTCCAACCTCCATCAAGGCCGAATCAAGAGGTCATCAGCCCAACTTGTTAGTATTTAACATCCGATCCGTTACTCAAGCCCAGCCGAATCAAAATATGTTCAGCCCAGTTATTCAAGAATGCACAAGTCCTACCAGTTGAAAGATTTATCGTAGAAGGAAAATTCTGAGATAGGAAGTTCTGTACAAGGCAAGTTCTATGTATGCAAAATTATACAATGGAAAGAACTCTATTAGTAAAGAATGTTTATATAGAAAGAATTGGAGGGCAAGCAACGCGAGTCCTACCATAATTTTACAATCTTTTGTATATAAATAGAGGCTAAGACCTCCAATAAAAGGATCAAGCAATTCTACGCTTCTCTATACACTGTTCTTATTTATTCTTATTGTTCTTTTGAGTGTGTTGTTCTATTTTTCTCAATCATTATTGGTTGAGCGAAATTTTGCACCTACACCTGTGCACCCCATTTGAGAAGGGTCGGCTCCTCGTAGGAGCTCAACACTGTCACCTCCCTTTGCAGGAGCACCAAGGAATGTTCAAAGGTTACAAAACTTACCAAACATCAGATAATGCAGGAAACTTATACCAACCCTCGTTGTTAACAAAGAACATTTTCAGTCTATTACTTCTTTTTTGAGTAAAAGCTCTTAATCCAATTTTTCAATTTTTTGGATTCCATGGAATTGTATTTTTATCACGTCACCAAATTCAATTTTAGGGTCTCTTATTAAATATTAGTAGTTATATTGCTCATACATATGGCTATTTTCTTTATATAGACTTGATTCGGAAAGTCTTTATATTGGCTATTTTCAAATGATAACTTGCCTATTAAGATGATGTATCCCGCCTTATTATGTCTAATATCACCAGATCTTACATGGTTTACTTGGGGAAGGATAAAGAGAGATCATTTGTTTTATATAACAAGTGTGAAAATTCAACGAGAGAATTTGTGTCAGACGCAACACCTCAAAATCTAATTAAGTTAGTTTGGGAACACCGAGACGTCTTAAAATTTCAATTTCAATTGCAATGTATCAATTTGATATTCCACAATGCAACACTATAGTATATTTGTTAGTAAATTTACTTATACTAGAGAAGTATATTTATTTGAATTTTAATATGTACACATGCAAAAAAGGATCACATACTATTGAACATTGAAAACAATAAAGATGTTTCTTAAAAAAAGGCTCTAATATCATACGGTTGTTGCAAAATTGAGACATACGGATATTATTTTTCTTTCAAAGGTTTTTATATTTCAAACATCTAAAAAAACAAAATTTTAGTAATACATACATGTGATAGTTTTCTTTCAAATGTTTCTATTTTAATTTTGTAATTACCTTTTATAACTACAGTAGGTGGTATTGGTAAAATTATATATAAAAACTAAAAATAGGGTGGGATTGATTTTGTGTTAAAATGAAAAGATATAGGTGGATTTAAAAATGACCGTTAGATTTAATCTAACAGCTGATATAAAAAGTGTGAATTAATTTTCTTGTTCCACGGGAAATAAGAGATCAGAACGATCATAAATAAAAATAGGAAAATGATTTTTGCATGGAATAGTTGTAATGAATTGTTAGACCTACTCTTTTAATTGGTCAATTATACAACAAATAAGGAAGTAGAACCCTCCACTTAATTATTTTTGGTATAAATAACTAAGTAATTTAATGCAAGCATTCGGTGTGAGTATTTACTCATAAAAATATCACTTGGGTCTAGACTGTTTTCTTTCATTCGTATCTTTGATCTGTTATATATATTTCAAATTTTTTTTTACTATTTATCCAAACCTCAAAAAAAAAAAAAAAAAAAAATAGATAGATATAATTTATCGTAAAAAATTTAGATCCACAAAAATAAACTAGTAATTCTCTTTAAAAATAATAATCAAAATACTCTTTTTCCACCCAACAGCATGTTACCTTTTGATGCAGTTATTTTGGAAGGACAAACCATGTGAGGCTGCTGGAGCTTCCAAGTTCTCCATTATTTAAGCTTATCCACTTCTGTTTATGTTTGTATTAGTGCTTGTTTTGAATGATTAATTATTCATTATGTCACATAATTATTTATTTATTTTGGTACACTTTATCCATACCGCGTCCAAACACATCTCTGTTCACATGTGAATAAAGCCATATATCGACATCTACCAACTTCACCCACTTTATTCCATGATTAGGTAGGCCTTCTTGGTCACTGTCTCAACCAACTAAGACTAACACTTTCTTGGAGATTTTTCAATATGTATGACCAGTTCTTTAACCTTTCTTAACTAATCTCACATGCTGTTAAACCAGGGGTCTCAATTCAGCACGTGTGATTTCCTTGACTATTGATTATTTACTCATTCCTAGCAAAGTAAAAAAAAAAAAAAGTGAAATTAACTCAATATTTTATTTTATTTATTTATTTTTTTTATAAAAAAAACTACCACTATGTTAATTGTTATCTTTAAGTAAATTAATCTATAAAATAAATATATTTTTTAAAAAATAAAATAAGATTACTGCAAATAACTAACAATTATTCTAGAAAGTAAAAACTATCTTATACGCTTGATAATTGTTTCATTCTACATATTCAAAGATTAATAAATAATGTTTGAAAGTCAAATTAGAATTGCTTAACTAAACTCTTAATTTGAGACGTGAGGGAATTGAACACCACATACTGGCTAGGCTCGTTGGCTCTTTTTTACACACCACAAACACCATCTACTTCAAATATTCAAAATTAAAGAAGAATAAGGTACTCAAAAAGAATCATTTAAAACCTATATGGCGAGCTAATTGACACATAATTATTTCGGAATTAGGGTCCAGGTTAAATAAAGGCATTTTTTAAAAATTTCATAAAAACGTCCCAAAAAATTTATTTTATTTGTTTATTTATGGTACGTAGTATTTTGGATTTTTTCTATAAAAAATTGGGCAAAATTGTTTACCAGGAAATAATTTGTTACAAATTTCAAAATATAGAAATTTATATGCACTTTTTAATAAGCAAAAATATTTCTTTCATATTTTTACATAGAGGAATCATCTTTCCATAATACTCTTGTTTGCTTCCATATAATATGTCAATTTTCCTTTCCTTATTTTTTCAGTTTTTTTACCGCCCATTACCATATTTTTTTAGTTTTCCACAGCAGTATAAAATTATTTTTCCTTTTCACATCAAATTTCATGGTTCTCAAATATAATAATTTGATTTGTACAAAATCTAAAACAAAAAATGAAATGTTTTATAATTTTTAAATGCTTTGCAATTTTTTTTTTTTTAATTTCTCTTCTTGATTTTTGTTTATGGGTGTCAGATATAATTTTAGTTATTAACAAATGTCTATCAAAGTAGTAAATGGATATTAATGATATACTATAATTTTCTAAATAGTTAATTATTTTTTATTTTAAAATAGATCTCATTATATTTGACACATTCTAATCACGTAGACTCGATAAAGTAATAAAATTTTATTTATTTTTATTTATTGAGAGCAAATAGTAGGAGTCTTGATAATAATACTATTAGTCAATTTTTCCTATCATGGTACAGAGTGCCCATCCTCATTGTTTTGTTTTCCAGAATAAAAAAATATCTTTAAATAAATAAAGAAGTAGATTTGGAGCTTTCTTTAAAATAATACTAATAATAATAATAAAACTAGTCTAGTTTAAACTCTCACATCCAAATCACAATTCAGCAGTCTATAATTTCATTATTTGGGTTATAAATGTACAACAAAGAGCATTAATAGGCTTGTTTGGAGGATTTACTGCAAATAAAAGATAAAAATCGATTAAAAGGAAAATGCGTCAATTCTGTCCCATCAAGACAGATTGTGTCTTGCACACTAAGAGGTTGATACCTTTTTAAATTTAAAAAAATACAAAAATAGTTTATACCTATTTTTTAAGGTTAAACCCAACAAATCTAATTTTTTTTCATATTTTTGCTCTCATATGTGTATCTTTTTCATCTGCATCTTTCTTTTTCCTTAGTCGTCAATCATTCCAAACCTAATATTTCCTATTAGGACTTCCACCACTTCACTTCAGATTGGATTTCGTTTTTGATTTGGTCTTATCAAGGATTGATTAATTTTCTTAAAACAAATATGTTAAAACATTATATTTGTGTAATCTTTCAAATGATCGAGTAAGAGATTTTGTTCAAATTTTGAGTTTTTTTTACTTTAAAAAACACAAGGACAATGGCTTCGTTCTGTTCCTTTTGCTCTCATTCTTATTTACACAAAAGGGTAAGAAATAAAAACCTTTTGCTATCATTCTTATTTACACAAAAGGGTAAGAAATAAAAATAAGATGGAAATCGTAGAATTGAGTGAAAAAAAGAGTAACTTTTATATATAGCATGTATAAAAAACAGTTGAGGTAGATTTTAAAAAGGGAGAAATATAAATGGTCAGCTCAATTTTTTTTAGGATAATTTTCTATCTTAAAAAAATTTAAAATAACATAAAAAGTAGCAAATATAAATTTTTATTAGTTAATTAAAAATAACATTCAAAGTTAAGTAAAAAAAAATAGATCGTTGGGTTTAGTTATAAAAAAAAAATTGAATATATCCCATATTTTTTGTATTTTTTAAATCTAAAAGAGGTATCAATCTTTAATTAGATCCTTTTATTAGAACACGCTAGTTTGTAGGACAAAATCCGTCTTGTTTGTAGGACACAATCCGTCTGGAGGGGCAGCATTAAAGCATTGTCCTTAAAAAAAACAAAACAAACAAACAGAAAAGTGTGAAAATCCTTGAATTACATTACCTACCTATCAGTTTATCCTCATAGTTTCCTCTCTCTTTCCTCTCCTGCAAAATCTTCTCTCGTGTTGTTCGCAGAGGAGCAGAGAACAACAGGAGAGAGAGAGAAGGGGGCATGGAGCGGCTTATCTTCTCTAACCCTATCCCCTTCAAAACTCAACTAAAATCGCGTCATTTTCTCCCTCGACTCGGCCGATTTCACGCCGCCAAACTCCGTTTTTCATCCTCATCGCGCACCGAGTTCCGGCGACTCAACACGCTGTCCTGCAAACACGAGGACCATTCTTCTCGTTCCTCTTCGTCTTCTTCAACGTCCCCGATTAATTACTCCGTCAAAACATCGTCTTCCGTTTCTTCACCGGTTGACTCAGAGACTGCAGAACGAGCTTCGCATCATCAAAAGGTATTAATAAACACACAGACACACACACTGACTCATACATTTACACATATACATACATTTATAATTGCTGAAACCGGTATATTTTTTTCCTCTGTAATTTGTAGCTTTTCTCCTACATTATTGGGTTGATGTTTTTTTTCCCTAATTGGTGGACCGTCCATGTTCTTTGGTTCAAAAGTCTGGATCTGTTTGGTTTCTTAGAAAAAGACAAGAGGGGTGAGGAAGAGAACAGAAAATTTTGAAATTTGCCTCAAAACCCAAATGGTTGAAAGATTTAAAATTTATTTCTTGGCAACTTAAGGTAGCATATTTGTAGTATTAAGAGATTGTGTGTAGTTTATATTAGCCATTGGTTTGGAAGATTTAGCAATACAATCACAAGTTCATTCCTTTTGAAATTTTTTAGGTTAGTATTCATACTTTTTGGTCAGAGAGTATATATAATAAATAAATAAAGTTCTGCCAAAGTTTTTATTCTACAAATATATATATGGTTTGCCAAAGTTTTTATTCTACAAATATATATATGGTTTGTAGTTGATTGAGGTGGATTTTTTTTGGCAAATGTGTTATTGGATTTCACTCTTGGTTGTCTGTTTGAACTAGCCATGTCAATTAAATAGGAACAATCAAAATTTATATGGTGTATTTGCTGTTAGTTATATATTGCATTTGATAGTGGTAGATTGTGTTCGGCTTGAAAAAAAAAAAAAACTCATTTAATTAAAATTTGCCAAATTGGTGGAGATTGAAAAAGATTAGAATTGAGATTTCAAAATCTATTTTATATAGTTAAGAACTTATTCCAAGATCTACAGCACCAGTTAACTTTGTCAGGGTCAATCTGGTCCTGTTAGTAACCGAACTGGTTTTATGGGTCTTGCTAGACTGGGAGCAGTTTCTAGCAATGCCAGATGGAAAGTTCTGAAGGTCAGAAGAGAAGGGAATCAACTATCAACTGTTGAAAGCATGCAAGCATTTCTGGTTGTTACTGCCAATATAACGTTAAAAGGATTGAAGTCACACATTTACAATTCTGTGAATGAAAACCTAGTATGTTGATATTAGTCACTAAAACAAAATTAATATGATATGGACAACAGTAAAAATCTTGAATGTCCCTTTAAAACAGAATTGAAACAATCCAACTGTTAAAATCTTGGACACCTACATTTTTAGTGTTAAGAAAATGTTTCATATAAATTCGTCAATAATGGTAGATTTTGAAATTTTATGATTAACACTGTATAGATAGGTTCCACCATATTATTCTACCTACTATTGCTTGGTTATATTACATATATAAATACAAATGTAAATTGTACAACAGAAACTTTTCTATTTTTATGTCCATTGAAGTCTCAAATGACTGCAAGGAGTTCTATTATTATAATTATTGTTTTTGTTTTTAATGTAAAAGAGATGCCTGAGTCCAAAATAATTAAGTTTTGATTCCTGCCAGGCTCTGCTTATAAGGTGTAGATTGTTTTGGTATTATCCGATTTAGAATTTCTCTAGCTTTCATCCCCCATCTCATCTATTTTACCAAATTTATTTCTTGATTCCCCAAGCCTTGTATACATCTTAAACTTTTGAGTCTTCTACATCTCAGCTTCTAATCAAGATTTTTCTGAACAAGCACACACAATAGAGAGAGAGATTAATGTGATCTCAATAGCTGGCCAATTATGAATACTTGCATATTCCTGCCAATTAATCTGCATTTCACTCCTAAATATCCATTGATCCTAGTTATTTTGGACAAAGCTGACAAAAGTTTTCCTTTTTCTGAAAATGTTTTAGGCAGTTTCTGCTGGTATTGTTATACTTGGATCAATCGCAGCGATATTACTTCACACAATCGTTGCGTCACCAGCTTTTGCAAGTTTTCAGACAACATCGAAGACCGGGGGTCCAGCAGCTGCTGCCCTAGGGAGAAGACTTTTACGAACTGAATTACTGAGTAGTGCTTGGACTGGTTTCTTTGCCGGTTGCTTACATACACTATCAGGTCCTGACCACCTTGCAGCTTTGGCACCACTCTCAATTGGCCGCACCAGATTGGAAAGTGCTGCTGTTGGAGCCCTCTGGGGCTGTGGCCATGATGCCGGACAGTTGATTTTCGGCTTGCTATTTCTACTACTTAAGGATCGACTCCACATTGAAGTTCTCCGAACTTGGGGCACAAGAGTAGTGGGTTTTACTCTTCTTCTTATTGGTGCTATGGGAATCAAGGAGGCTTCAGAAGTCCCAGCCCCTTGTGTTGCCTTGGAAAATGGTGAATGTGACGTCGGTGTCTATGGAACCCTTGAAAACCCTAATATTGGGAGGAAGAAAATCGGGTTTGCAACTTTTGCCACAGGGATTGTCCATGGGCTGCAACCCGATGCACTGCTGATTATCCTACCTGCTCTTGCTTTACCTTCTCGCCTAGCTGGTGCTGCATTTCTAGGTATGTTCTTGATCGGGACAGTAACAGCTATGGGTGGTTATACTGTATTTATAGGCTCCTGTAGTCAGGCATTGAAAGAGAGGGTCCCTAGAATAACCGAAAAGCTCACTTGGGCCTCTTCCCTTATAGCAATTGCTCTTGGATTTGCCATGATCATTAGCCAATTCTTTGGATTTAGCCTATACTGATTAAAATATGTTGTTTCTCAAGTTCCTTTCAATGTTAGGAAAATGTTTTAAGGGGATTTAACAATTTAGTGGTGGTAACATTTATCTTATCTAGGAGAATCACCATCCTTGATAGTTATCTTGTTCGTCTTCAATGGTTGTAATTTTTATTCACAGGAACCCTTCTGCAATGCAGAAACCTTGTAATTTTCGTGTATGGTTAAAGAATTCAGATGGTCTAGCGGTGCACATTTATTTATCTGATTTGTGTTTGCATGTCACATGTATAATCTTGGTTCAAATTGGCTCATTGGACAGTACGTGTGTGCTTGTCTGTTAATATGTGGTGTAACTGGTGTTGAATGTGAATGAAACTTGACATAGCATCTGCCTTTTAGGTCCTCGCCGGAACCGGACTTCAAGCTGATCCAAATTGTGAGCCTCAGTGTATGGTCCTGGGAACGGTGTCTCAGCCGAAGCTCAACCTTAATTTAATCCCAACCTAATGTGTCACCTCTTATTCATTTTTCTACCTCGCCAGAATTTGAACACCATGACATTTAGGACCTAGGGACCTCTGATTGCCATAACTCTTTTACTAACCGAGTTATCTATACTCTGTTCCACTAAAATTCTTATTCTGCCAGATCTATGCATGTGACATTTTTTTTTAATTTTTAATTTTTATTTATTTATTTATTTCTTTTTTTGGGGGTTCGAGACGACACATCCACACGTAGATAACACAAATTCCCATATACATACGTCCTCTTATGGGCTCAGGCCCACTATCAAACCATTGGGATGGTGGTGGCCACGGCCTACCAACATCATGTAGTTTACAATAATTATATCACTTTTCATTTTTCATAAAAGGGATGATATCCTTGTCGGGAAATGATTAGATTTTCGTAGAAGTTGATGAAGGTGTTAGGAGTGCCATACCATGTTGTTGGATTTGTTTCATAGTATAAATCAAATATAGGATCAACTTAATAACATTAATCCATAATTGTATAACGGTTTTAATGTTTTTGATTGGTTTTTATCCAAATCAGGATGGAATACAAATAAGAATTCCAAATCAAATCTTACCAACATTCAGTTTGATTGGAGGGAAGGATGGCGGGAAAGATCAAACCAAAAAAAAAAAAGGGGAGATGGATGGATGGATGAGTCATCTCTATTTACACATGAAATTTCATTGTTATTATATAATATGAAGTGCCAGAATTGCTCTTAAAAAAAAAAAATTGTTTACATTTTGATTTGTCATGCGCTAACTCATAAACTTTGTGTTCAACACAATTTATACTTTGAAAATAACTACTTGAAATTACACTTACTGAGTTCATAAAATTATAGTAATAAATTTAAATAAGAAAGAGAAATAAAAAGTTGAAGAGAGAAGAAAGTTTCATCTTACGTACATCATATATAAGCGCAGCAAATAAGAATTTTAAGAGTGGGGAAAAAATAAAAAATAAAAAAATGAGAGGAATGTAAAAGGGAGAAATTAGAGTTTGATTAAGAAGAGAAGTTTAACTTTTTCTTTTAAAGAAATAAAAGGAATTTAAAAAGTAAAAGAAAAAGAAAGAAAAAGTTTAGATATAATTTTAGAAATAAATTTTTTATATGGACATATAAAAAAAAATTAATTAATTTATATGTATAGATAATACTTAGGTCATCATAGATGATGATGTACAACATTCTAATGGTTGATTTGAACAATGACAAATGAACATATCTTTTTTACTTACCAAATTAGGAATGGTAAGAATATATACTCACTTGCCAATTTAAAAATGATGTGTACTCAACCAGTGAATTTTAAAAAAAAATTGTATCCCTTTGTTATTGACAAAAAATTGTATGTATTATAGTTGGCGTGGCGGATTGACAGAGAATTAATTCCTTAATTAGTCTAAGAAATGCTATATAATTATCTTTATTTATAATTTTATTTTTATTTTTTCTTAATGACAAAATATCTCTTATACTTAATTGGATATTTATGAGTTCAGAACACTTTGAATGTAGAATAGGAATTATCATCTTACTCCGGTAAAATTATATTATAAGAATGTACGTAAATTATCCATAAATTTATACTATCTGATCCTGTATTTTTGCGCAAGAAAAAAATTTACGTGGATTATCATAATCATATTATGAGAATGTGGGTGGATTATATATATATATATATATCGTCAATTTATTTATTTAAAAAAAGTGGTCTACAAATATGCATATTATAGGTCCACTTACGTCATGGATTAACTTTAAGTACAGAATTTTTCGTACTGTAGACCAGTAGGACCAGGCGCGAATCAAGGATTGCCAGAATCACCTGTCCACGGTTCCCCCTCTGTCTCTAAAGTTAGAACAGTATTCCTAACTTTTTTTTTTTTTCAATTTCCATATATATATATATATATATATATTTTGGTCATTTATGAGGAAAAAATTAAAGACATTCCTATTTATTTATTTTTTCACAATTGCATCCCCACTTCCACTTTTTGAGATCATTATGTCAAATAAAATCATCTCAAAAATGATAATTATATACAGCTTTTCAGTGCTTAAAATCAATACGTCTTCCTTATAAAAAATAGAAAATAATAAAACACACCTAGGATTCCTTTGCCTTTCAATTAATTGGCGTTTGTTTTTTAAAATAACATTTTAGTAATGACATTATAATTTTCAATTCACGACAAATAATTACACAAATATATAGTAGAGTAGGTGGTAGTATTTTTTTACTCTCTGCTTTGTGTGTGTGTGTGTGTGTGTGTGAAGGGTGATAATAGGCCCCCTCTGACATTTGCCTTCAATCCTTTCTGTCACTCAAAATCTAGCACTGCAAACTCCTCAAAACAACTGTTAATGAATAATCAAATCAATCCCCCCACAGTGGAAAATTTGAAACCCAGAAAAGGAAAAGCAATCAATCCAGTAAAGGGAAAGGAAAAAGATGCTATTGTCCTCTATTTCTGTTCAGTTTAGTAGGTGTTGCTTTAGTATCAATTCCAAACAGACACCCTATAATGGAAATATATTTTAAAAATTCCACATAAATAAATAAAGAACACTGCATTTCATACGGTACGGAAGAAATTCATCCATTTTCTTTCATTTTCCGGGAAAGTATGAAATCGACCTAGAAAATGAAATTAAATCAAAGCCTCTATGCTGGCTCTCTTTGCCCCTCCACAGACAGGACAAGACACAAGAAAAGCTTCACAGGCTTTGCAAGAACAAAGATGCCTGCAAGGTAGGAAAACAACACATGACCTCTGAGAATTACAGCCTTTGCAGACCATCTTTCTCAAATTTCTCTCTCCGTTTTCTAATTCACATTCATGTCCTCCTCTGTTTTCCCCTGTTTGCTCCTCTGTTCCTCCTCTGTTGTTCATCATCTCATCACAGCACGACTCTGCATCTTCGAACCCATTGGCTAAACAAGCATTTTCTTTGAGGTGTTCGATTGTGCCGTTAAGATTTAACGCTATGGCTTCGTTTTCTTTGGCCACTCTCTGCCATGTTTGGTTCTCAATCTCCATTCTTCTCAAGAATTCTTCAAGCTCCATTCTCCTCTGCACAGCTTTTGCCATCTCTTCTTCTTTCTGTTTCAGGATCAAATTTGTTTTTGCTTCAAATTTCTTCAAAAGCACTTCTAGTTGTTGCTTTCTCTGCTCTTGCAAAGCCAATCTCAATCTCTCATTCTGTTATTCAGAAAAATAAATAAATCAATCAAATTTGAAAAAGTAATAGGAAGTGTTTTCTACATATATTTTGAATTTTTGAGCAAAACACACCTGTAAAGTGATGTAAATATCAATCTCCTGCCTTTGCTTCTCGATCTGAGAAGCTAAATTTCGAGAAAACGCCATTGATTGATGAGTTTTTGGAAGAGAAATACTATTGTTTTGGTTTAGGTTCTGAAACTGGTCTTGTTGTATAAATGTTTGTTTCTGTGGAAGGTTAACATAGAACTCGTTGAACCCACAAACATTGTTGTCCATGCCCAAAGGAAATCCAAGATTCTCCGAATACAACTGCGCTTGAACAGCCATAGAAAAAACACCAAAACCAAACAAGCCCTTACAAACCAGGAAAGAAAACAGCAGAATCGAAATAGGTTTGGATCAAAACAAGAGCTTTGTTGTTGTTGGCTGTGTTCAATCAGAATGGGTTGATGAGATCTCTCTTTATATTGACAAACACTTTTGCTTTTTTTTAAGTAACACAAAAGACAAAGGTGGTGAGGAGTGTCTATATATAGTGGGAAGAGAAGAGGTGAGGTGATTTATGATGGATGTAAGTTTTGATTATTAAATTAAAGAAACTGAAAATGGGTGGGCCTACGATTCTCTCTCTCTATACTTTCTCTCTCTAGAAGAAACTGTTGCGGAGGAGCATTAAAGAGATATGTATGGGAGGTGGTAACCAAAAGACGTACACATGCAGATTTTGTGGACTAAACAATCGGGTCAGAGATTTCAGAGGCGTTGTTGAATGAGGAATTCAATCCCCCAAGTGGGTGGTGAGATGAGGAGAGGTGGGGGCCTCGTGCTTCTCAGAACTAGTCAGCTTCTCTCTCTCTCTCTCTATATATATATTTAGAGAGAGATAGATACAGAGTTGTTATTAGGTTATAAAATTTGTCTCGTAATTCTAAATTTTCACATTTATACTGTTGATTTTATAGAAAGACATGAAGACCCTTTTATTGTTTCCCACTCCAACCAATAAGGTAACTTTACTTTTCAATTTCCATCAATACTCATCCAATAAGGATGGTTATAATTTTATCTGTTCTGGCGCAATCAAATTACAAAAATGGCGGGACAAGTATAGAAAAATTGTCAAGTAATATTACGTTGTATTGTGAGTCACAATTTATAAAAAAAAAAAGGACATTTATTTTAGGATAGAAGAAGAAATATTGTTTATGAAGTCTTTTGGCAAATTAGATCTGTATTTGAACAAAAATAATAATAAATAAATATTATCTATTTTTATTATTACTATTTTCCTTTTCTATTAATGAGTGTTTCTTTTGCATGAGTGGTTTGGTTTCTAACTTATTTGTTTTTATAAATATAATAGGTTCACTAATTAGGTTTGCCTATATGTTTATTAATCCCTCAATCTCAAAGTAAATGTCTGCATTTTTATTTTTGGCTATTTCAAAATAAATGTCCCATTTTAAAAAGTCAAATACTATTTTTTTTTTAACATTCTTATATTTAATTAAAAAAAATAAATCATCACATCACGTAGATCCATTATAAACAGATTTGCATATTTGATAATTTATTCACTAACAATATAATAAAAAAATATTAAAATTTATCATCTTACAAATTTAAATTTCTAAAAATATTAGTATATGGCCAAAGGTATATATACTTGGGTGAAAAGCGCGTTGTAATATGAGTATTCGTGGGATTCGAAATTAGTCTCCTATAAAAACTTGACTACATATAAAGCAAAACATGAATGTATTATGTGTTAGTAATGCTGTTGACAAATCTTCGAATATGGATATTGATGATTGCATGATTAAGCCGTGTATTAGCAAATCAATTAGTTGAGGCAATTGATTATAGACATCGATATTTTCAAAAGTGCAATAAATATTTACTTTCATACCACGATACCTCAGTGTAAATAACCATAATTGCGCTAGCAATTACAACAAATATATGTTATATTTCTGGTCATGCGCCTAATGCAACAATATATACATATATATATTTTAATTATTGTGAATATAATAATTTTAAATTAATAATGTAATAATTATATAAATGTGTTAATCTTTCAATTTAAAAATATTATAAATATAACGTTGCAACATAACATTAAAAGTCATTCCACAAGTATTATATTTTCGATATAAATATATTATATAACTTTTTAAAAGTTATTACACGTGAGTGTTACATTTTCACACAATCTAATATGTTGCATAAGTGTTGTTTATATTTTTGATATAATTGTATTATATAACTTTTTAAAAGTGATTGCACTAAGTATTGTATTTTGTGATATAATTATATTATATTATGATACAGTTGTATTGCACTTGTACACATAATAAATGGATGATCCCCTAAAACGAATCATGTATATATCTTATCTTGACAAATAACTTAAATTCATACATCTTAATCTTTTACTTTTGAAGGGTGTAGAAATAAATTATTACCCCTGGTTATTTGCCATATAATTAATTTCAATTGAAGTCCTAGGAATAAACAATGTATGCTATCAATTAAAATCCATATATCTTCCAATTATAAAGTGGATGATATATCTATATATATATATATATATATGTATATTAAATTATAGTCATGGAAGAGTCGTGAGAGTAGTCAAATAATGAGCCAGATTAATAACCCTGTAAATGCAATACAATCCTTATTACATAATTAAAATATTAGAAGAAAAGTTTGAATAATTAAAGCCACCTTTGGCACGGTTGACCAAGAAACAGCCAACTTCATTAATAATATGTAATCTACACGCCATTATAGAGTTGCCTTCCTTCCCACATTAATGCCATACGTTATGGTTCTGTTGCCCCTTGAATGCGACTTTGTATTTGTCATGTTGAATGCGACTTCATATTATGTCAATCTCACAAGAAGTTTTTTTTTTTTTTTTTTTTTTAAATACTTGAAGCGTTACAAAAGAAAATGTACATTGTCTCCATTTGAAGTTATGGTATTTATATAAATAGATAATTGAATTCAGAATAAAGGGATTTGATTTTAAATTACATAATCTCTTTAGTAGGTAATTTATAAAATAAATGTTAATTATTAAAATTGGATATCAAAAGTCAAAGATGGTAGGTTAACATGGATTGTTATAATCTCTATGCAATCAAATAACTCTTTATATATATATATAAATATATTTATTTATATGCTATTAAATCAATTTATTTAAAATTTTCAATCGTAAAGGTCATTCAAAATTTACAGAGTCAATTTAAAAACACTTATTACATAGTGAAGTAACAGGAGAATTTTCTCGCTTTGTTACTGATTTGTGATGAAATCGGGTGCATTAATGTTAATATGATATGATTTGATTTTTGAATTGTAAAAATATAAATTTATTTATTTATTTTTTAAATTTGATTGGCAATACAACATAGATGCAAGCCATATGGGACGGTGACACAAGATATTAGTAATATTTACATTGAAAGGAGAAAGAATAGTAGTAGTAGTAGTAGGGTCACAAGTGTTGCAGTGATCACATCAAAAAGGCAATACTAGTATTAATAATGTTCACGCCATATGTCTCTTTCTTGGGTTTGGTCCTGAAATCGAGTGTAACGTCTCTTTTAACACTGCACATGCCCACTCGTACGTGGCTCATGGCCCAGCCCAACCAACACCGTGTCATTGACTCATAACTTTCGAACCCCCCACCCCATTAACATAAAAAGACTTTGAAAAGAGAAAAACAAAAAACTTGCCCATCTCATAAAGATGCCAATTTCCACAGGTCCTTACAATTCCCGAGGTCTTCTTCCTTCTCACAGTATTATGTAAATCTACACACACTAACGTATGCATATTGATTAGTAGTAGTATTATTGATTGAAGTTTGTGTCCCCTTTAATAATTTGTTTTTATTTTCAAACACATTGTTTACGTTTGGAGTCGAGAAGCAGCGAGGAAAGGGCCATAAATATGGCCCATGTGGGTCCATGTGCTGCCCACCCACCACCAGGGTCCCATCCCCGGTATGAGTCCTTGACGTGGTTGGGGCTGCTCTTCTGCAACCCAATGGTGCAATCCATGTGAAACACCAAAAACTCAACCCGATGCATATATGTGACATCTTGACTAAACAATCATTATAGTAATAAGTCATAAAATATTTATATATTATATATATAGAGAGAGAGAAAGATATAAAGATGAGGTGAGAATGAAATGGGGATAAATCCAGAGCCCCATTTCTCGTATATGGTGATGGAGGAGTCCGGGGGACTGCAACTTCCCAACAACTTCTCTTTGTTTTTAACCTCTTGGCAAAGTAGCTAGCTAGTGATGAAGTGGTGACCCCACCTATATATATTTGTTCATATGTATGTATAATGGGTACAAAATAATAATGTTGGATTGTTGTTTTCACATACAGTGTGATTACTCATTGTTATAATATATTAAACAATGAACATTAAATTTATATTGGAAGGTAAACGTTATCTATCTTCAAATGTTTATATATATATATATATATATATTAGGCTATATTTGGTACAATGAAGTGAAAAAGAAAAAGAAAAAGAAGAAAGGAAAGAACCAAATAGTGTTAATTACTTATTGTGTTTAATTGATTAATGAAGATGATATTTAGTTGATTAGGAAAAGGAAAAGGAAAAGGAAAAGGAAATAAAAGATAATAATAATGTTTGAGGATATAAAATATTTTAATGAATTTAACTACAACCACATTCTTACAAAGGAAAATAAAGAAAAAAACAGTAATCATGTTTAAGGAAAGAAAAATATTTTAATAAATTTACAACTACACCCTTTTTTAAAAAAATTTTGTCATCAAATTTAATATTAACAAAATTTAATTAAAAATATTAGCCATTCGTTACATTTTTAGGAGAACAATAAAAGATAATATTTTATTGTATCCCTCCAAATTAGTCAGTTTCTTTTCTTTTAGATAACGTCAATCATTGAAATAACGCAAACACCAACTGGGACACAAAGCACGCCTACAATATTTGAGATAACCCCAATTATTGAGATAATATTATGACTTTATCACAATGATAAGATTGTTCATTTTGATATAAAAAAATATAGTGTCAACAATAAAATTGTTCATTTTCATATGAAAGTCACGAATTTAAAATAAAGAAACAATATATCTACATGTGTAGTTGTTATGTACATCTTTAAAATAAGAAAATAATCATTTTGAGATAAAGTTGAATACCTATAACTTTTCTTAAATTCCATAATGGTTAATGGAGGGACCTCATGTCAAAGGAGATCATATTTACCCGTTTGAATGCAATTATTGTCTAGTACATCATATTTGTGAAGTTATTTTCTAGGATGTGTGAAATTTTCGATTTCATTCACAACCGGGGCAAATTTATGATTATCAATAATTGAAGCTGTCATTAATATATCTTAGAACTCTCTAAGCAGACAGTGTTGCGTTATTGGAGGCTCAGGATCCAATTTGATTATGGAGTACTAAATAAAAAAGAGGATTCAAGAGGGTAGGCGTGGTAAGCAAACACAGATTAGAAACAGGAAATTTTCAAGGCTTGTTTTAATCCTTGGCTTTTATACTTGCAACCCAAGCTCTCCGTCACTAAGATTGAGATAGAACGAATGTACTTTGTTTTTTTTAAGAGTAACATGGGTGGCTACAAAGGATTAAAGCTATTCATGAATAGTTTTATCGGCTCAAGCTCAAATAGCAAGCTACTTTCATCAAGCTTATTTGATAAACTAGTCGAGTTCTAACCACCCATAATAATTATCTGGTGAACATATTAATAAATTAGTAGTGCTCGTGAACAAGTTCGATAAGGCTTATGAACGTACATGACTTGTTTTATTAAGAATTTTGTTTAGATTTTATAGTTACATATTTTGATCTCAAACCCGAATTTGCGATCAGATTGATATTTTGACTAAAACAAACTAATTTCAAGCTTGATAAATAATGCTGAACCTAAATTCAAACATTCTTACATAGATTTGCTTGTATGCATTATATATTGTTAAATGTAATCAAACCCTTGTTTGAACTCTTACTCTTCTTCACTTGATTTCCTCAACAAATGAAATGGCACATTACTGTCAAAAGTAGAGTACACTTTTTGGTATTAGAGTCAAATGAAACCAAAATTTAACATTTTGCAACTCAAAGTAGCTTTCATGCCCAAAACCGAGGATTAGGCCGGCTGAATGAAATGTCATGATTTGTAATGGTACATATTTTACGCCGTCCATTGTATTGGACAAGCATATCCAATTTCAAACCCCTTGTTTAATTCTATGGGCCACTAGTTTTATAGTCGCTGACATGTGCATGTATATATATAGTGTGTGACTGTGTGTGAATTTATGTGATGAACTTTCCAATGTCTGTGGGACGGGAGACTCTTCTGGGTGTCCCAAATGTGTATGACTTTGGGTTTGAAAGCTATCTTCTTGGAAACTACTAGGACAAATCAAGATAGAATCAGACGTAGAAAATGGTTCACTTTGAATAAAAGCTATCAATCAAGTTATTCAATAAATGTGTGTATATGTATATATATATATATATATATATATATATAAAGGCAATGTAAGGTTCAATGTTTCATATGGTGTGTGATGGACAAAATGATAATTTAGCCTGACTAAAGTTGCCCGTTGACCACTCAAGCCAGTTATTTTCTTTGTATTCTTTTCCTGCTTTCGGAGAAAAGGAAAGGACCCTAAGAAAGAACGAAATGTTACGTCCTTCAAAGATGCTTCACATGACTTTCGTGTGCGTAGTTATCTTCTCCAACGTCTTTATTTATTTATTTTTTATTATTATATTTTTTTGGTAGGTCTACTTTGTCCTGTTTCATGTTTGCAAAAACTTATGAAGCCACCTAAACATTGTTGCATTAACCTCTTTTCTACGAAGGGGGCTAGTATTTATTCTATATTGTACAAATGGGACTTTGAACTTGGGACGAAAACCAAGGAATTAAAAATATGTTTTTTTCTTTTGATTTGTTGTGCGGATGATATTATTATTGTTATTATTTTCTTTTGACAGAAATTTCATATACATCACTCAAATAATTAACTTTTACCATCACCATTTACTTTAAGAAATAGAGAAGATATCACCGATCTCAAAACCTTATTTTTTGTAAATTGTTCAAGATTTTTTATTTCTGCCTATTCTAAGAAGTTACTAATGTATACTGTTGACAATTTCGTCAAGTTTTTAATTTCCCATTACTAATAATTTCTATAAAAAAAAAAAAGAAAAAAAAAAAAGAAGGTATGGGCGGTCTAGCTGTGAACACAACACTACCCACCGGGCCACCGCCTTCTAATACTCACCCCACCCCCAACTAAAATACGAAAGGACCATGCGGATTCACATGCCCGCGCCCCAGTAGAGGCTCGGTGCTTGGTCCTTTAATTTAGGCACCGTTTTTCTGGACAATAATATATATATATATATATATGTGTGTGTGTGTGTGTGTAGCAGGATACACATGCACACACACCTGACCTGAATCATCTTGATTCATTTCCAAGTCTTCTTTGTAATACTTTATTATTATTTCTGAATTTGTGATTAATTATCAGTGATAAACTAATTATCTGCAACTCATTTTTATCAAATAAGTTCATAATAAAGATTAAAGACTACTTTTAACCTGGTATATTTGGCTATTGCTTTGTTCATTTCTTTGAAGGCAAATTTTAGTAACTTTTGATTAATTTTTTAGCCTTTTTTTTTTTTTTTTTTTAAAGTAAGATTTAAATAATTTTAAAATATCCGTCAAACATTGAATTTCCAAATCATTTTTTATATTTTTGTTTTTCTAAAAACAAAAAACTATTTACATTATACAAATGTAACCTATTATGAGCTTCTATTGACTGAAAATCATATTTATTTCCCATTAGTTAATGGAGAAGATCACCAATTTACTCAAATGCTCAAACTGTTAAGTAGTATTATATACTCACCGTTTTAAACCCAATCATTTTTTCATCCCGATCTAATGGGAAACAAATGACTCTTACAACACTCGGAACCAAACCACTGGAAATCTCTGCCCATGGACCACTGAGGCCCATTAAGTCCATATGCCTTTTTTTAACGGTGAGAAAGAAACCCAATAAAATAGTCCAAATTTAGGCCCACTTTCAAGTGGTTATGACAGTGTCCACATCTAATCCTTGCACTAACTTCAATATAAATACTTTTATATTTAATATGGGCCAGGCGGGTATGGGCCTATGTTTCGACCTCTTGCATCTTACTACGTGCCAAAATAAAGTTTTCATTTAAAAAGTTAAATAATTATTATCAATTTAACCTTCTTACATTAAACTTATATAAAAAGTAAATTATCATATTTTTGTGGACTCACTGTGGATAGACTTAATCATATTTTTTCACTAAGGATCGAACCTTTGACTTCCCTTTAAAAAGTAGGGGTCTAGTACTGTAAAACTGGTGGCCTGTTGGTATAGATTTGATAATTCATTTACTACCAATAAAATAAAAAAATATTAAAACTCATCCTCCTACAAAAGTTAATTGTCAAAAAATAACATTTATTTTGGGAAAGGGAGAGTGAAGGGGCATAAAATCCCACTGGCCCAAGTCGTGCCCGGCCCACCAGTTTAGAAGTAAGCCCAGTGATCTCTCAGCCCATTCTCTCTCATGCGAGGCCTGTTCTAACCTAAGGATCAACCCAAGCAAAGGATAGGCCCGTTGAGAAAGGATTAGGCCCATTTGATTTCAGGGTTTAAAAATGTCCAATGACTAGGGTAAGGATAGACTTCTATAAATAGAAAAAAGAGCCAAAATGTTAATGATCCAATTGAGATGTAACTAATCTACTTTCTGAAAATAGAAAGCAATTGATGGCATCTTCCGGAAGTATCTAGCCAAATACCTAACTTGCCATGTTTATGATTTATTGGAGTCCCGTGAATGAAATATCAATTATATCAGTGAACCTTGATTAAGCCGAGTTCATGATTTTTTTTTTTTTAATATCTGAAATAAAAAACCCTTCTAACCACCGGCCATTGAACTTATGATTGAAAGATAAAATTAAAATATATGTAATCATTTGTAAATCACGCATATTATTTAAATACATATGTTTTTGTAGAATCGAAGTCGAGACTGTCTAACACTGGCCGTTGAATTTCCTTAACTATGTTAACGACCCGTCCGAGTTAAAATTCACAGCTTTTGATAGCAGATAAATGAAAGTCAGCTTCCGAGAGAATCCGAGAGACAAGTCTTTTGTTTGGGATCCAATCTAGAAATCTGGTCCCAATTTTAAGCCACCATAAAGAAAATCAAAGGGAGTTTAACAAAATTTCATTGGGACCCGTTGGTCGGTGCAGAGATGCCCATGCAAGAAAATTAATTGTTATTATAGAGTCCAATCCAGCCTCGACACGTGGCGAAAGACCATATGAGTTTTATTGCACATCGAGGGACCCACATTCAAAGCCAAGACCATATAGAGAGAGAATGGGAGAGAGTAATAAGGTGTCTGTCTATATAAAGGACTTCACAACTACTAAAGGTTCCATCACTAATCTCATGCGTGAAGTCTAAGAAAGAGATCCAGTTTCGTGTGATATTTATCTTTCTGTACGTATATATATCTAATCCAGTATTACATATATAGTTTTTGTGTATTTATATATCATCTATTGGTATCAGTTAGTGAGTGAGTGATTCATATAGTGAAGTTATGGGTGCTCTGGATCATATCTCCCATCTGTTTGACTGCTCCCATGGCAGTTCCAAGCTCAAGAAACGCAAGATGTTGCAGGTACTCTCTCTCTCTCTATGTATGTATATATATATATATGTATTTATATATATATATATATAACCGGCCAGCTGGTGATGATAATCTCTTTAGTAGATTCTGAAACTTTACAGGTTGTTTTTACTAGAAAAGATGATCTGGGTAACTGGGTTAGATATGCATAACATGTACACATGTGTATATATATCTTCTCAGTTTTTACTCTCACTTTGTAAGTAGTCGGCCAAGTAGAGCACCAACCGGCCGGCGGTTTTAAAGAAATATGGTTCAGTGTTTTTAAAATAACCAAAATGCTCTCGATTCTTTATCATTAATTGACTCTGAGTTTGCAACCAGAGCACATCACTCAGTGTCAGCTTCATCATCGGTTTTAGGTCATTCGGTGGATATATAAAGCCCCAAGGGTAGTTTAGTCATTTCATTTAGTATAATTTTATTTTATACTCTCAGTCAATTAAACTCGATCAATTTAATTTCTTTCTTTTTAATTTGAAATAAACACACAGAAGCTTCCAGTTTTTAAGATTATAATAGTAATGTATCAGGACCGTCCACCTAAACAGCCTTGCCGGAGATTAGATCATTAGAGAGCACTCCTCCTCCTCACACTAAACTAAACAAAATTATGCATCCCGATCTCGTCGCAACGGTTTCCCGCCAATTATGCAAAGGGTCACGTGGTTAACTCACGTGATCACCGAACAAATTGGATCACCTGCACGACACGTTACTAATGTCTATATCCAGGAATGTGCGTTTAAGTTGTGGAGACCCACACCCGACGGACCCCATACAATCAATCCAAACTCGAAAGTCAATCCAAATGCTGACGCTTAGCCATACCATTGTGGGACCCAAGTCACAACCGCTTGTTAGTTGTTAATGCATGAAAAAATACAGATAATTTGATTTGGATGATATGTGAAGTGTGGACTAATCAAATATATGTTTGGTTGATCAGACGGTGGAGATAAAGGTGAGGATAGACTGTGAAGGATGCGAGAGGAAGGTGAAGAGCGCGGTGGAAGGAATGAAAGGAGTGAGATCTGTGGAGGTGGAGCGGAAGCAGAACAAGCTCACAGTCGTCGGATACGTGGACCCCGCAAAGGTTGTGGGCCGCGTGGCTTATCGGACGGGTAAGAAGGCAGAACTGTGGCCCTACGTTCCATACGATGTGGTGGCTCATCCCTATGCCCCCGGTGTCTATGACAAAAGGGCCCCACCTGGCTACGTAAGAAACGTTGATGACCCACAGATCTCTCAGCTCGCACGTGCCAGCTCCACCGAAGTCCGCTACACCACTGCATTCAGTGATGAAAACCCCGCAGCTTGTGTTATCATGTGATCCATAATATATATATATATATATATATATATATATATTGCACTAGATTGGGAGCTCCAAATTCCGATGGACAACTGTTTATTACTACTAGTATTCTCTTGCATTGGCTCTTTTTGGAAATAGAGCAACAATTTGTTCTGATTTTTTAGTGTATTGTTTTGAATCAAGTGTTATATGATTATCGAACATTTGTCTGGTAAAATAGATTGATTTTTCTGTCCTTTCTCCAAATGCAGTGAGAGAACATATTTTCAAATACAATTGTGTTGCATTTAGAAGCATCTATTGCATTTAGAAGCACTTCCTGGATTTGAATTTAGAAAAAATTTAGTCAAGACTTTGAACTAAATTTTTTTCATTTCTAAATCCGTACTTCCAAACATAGCATTACAAGTCACCAGATCCATCATTGTACAAACAGAAGAAAATTATGGGTTTAGTAGGGAAGTGAATGCATCCATCAAACAGAAGAAAGTTGCAAGTTCAGTGCATTCTTCATGACAGGCTTGTCAGCTGAATGAACAACTCAATCTCAACATATTGCAAAGCACTTGGGACATAAAATAAGTGGGTGTAATCTGAAGGATTTTGAAGGTGAAGTTCATTAAATTCTCACCAATGCACATTTTGAAAACCTAAAACTCTCCAGTCAAAAATCTTTAACACGATTGAACTTTATATGATCGCACTTTCCCAAAAACATATTGAAAAACAGATGACTTCTCCTGGTAGTTATTTGTGGGCAAAGGAGAAAGCTACTTCAAGAAAATCTGGAGGAATGTGTCATCTACCACGAAAAATCGGAACAGCTACTGCTTGATTTTTATAAAAGTATTGAAAGAATTATCGGAAGTATAGTATTCTAGAGATGATCATCATTAAAAATTCACGATCATCGAAAAACCTACTGCTCCATATTGTAACCAACACATTGCCATCAAGCAAATCAATTCCATATTAGACGAGCACAAGAAAACCCTTTTCTTGCCATCTTCAATATCCGCCCCAGTGATAATGAGAAGGCCCCCCCGGGATAATCTTCTTAGTCAGTTGCATCAGTCACTGTCTGCGAGTTGAGGCACACAAGTGACTACTTTTGCAACAATCGTCGGTTCAAAAGCAATGCTTCCAGATGAAAATTTGGCATCCTTCGCAAAGCAAAATAATAAAGGCAGAAGCAACTTTTTACAGTTATTTGCATTTGAAGTAAAATAAAATAACAGGAGATGGAAACTATGTGAGCCAGCATTCAACACACATCACAAGTTTGGGTCTCAGGAAGTACGATTTGTAACTCACCTGTTCAGAACCCAATAATCAAATATGAAATTGCTCACAGCTATAGCAGTGTAACATGGAAGAGATCCCCCACCTTCCCTAAATTCTGTAATTCAGCAAGGGAGAATCGCATAGCTTAGAATTTTTTCATCAAACGATGGTAATTAATATACTAATTTATGCGCTTTTATAGAGTATCAGAAAGAACCAGAGTAGAAAAGCTTATTAGAGCTTCAAAGTAGACCAAAAAATTGGTCACTACTCATAATTTCTCCTAGCTAGGCTCCTCTTCACAAAAATTTTTATACAGCCTTACAGAAGCTTTAAACTGAAAAAGCAAGCAACTAGAAGGGTAGCAAGACTAGCTCTGTTTCATGTATGTGTTTCTGGAACCCAACAGCAGGGAAGGGAAAATAAACTTGAAAATAAAAGAACACAAATTGACCTGATGAGAAGATGACATTGAAGTTTAACAAAACCACTTATTGGGAGACGATAAACATCCTCAAGAACAAAGCATCTGATTAGCTCTTTAACTAGCCATTGCAGCACGAGCCCCTCCTAAAAGAACAAACACAACAATGATTAGCTATAAAAAGCAAATGAGTAATATCTCAAGTCCACAAATTGCATTCAAGGACATACTACATAATATTATGTGTCAGTCAATAAAAGAGCCATTTTTGCAAGAAAAAAAAAAGACGAAAAAATAAAAGATGGTTTCATATTATTTGATACTAGAGTAAGCATGAGCGAGGCATCTCATTTATTTCCCACTATAATGCAACGATGATGATACAACAATAGCCAAGTGGCAATAATTTAAAGAATTTTTTTAAGAAAACCACAAAGACCAAAAGAAGTCATGTTAGAGACATGTTGGTCAATTAAGAAGCACAGATACAGACACGAGACATGAGTATGACACAATATGACAATCTATTTTTAAAAAAATGGATTGACATGGCAGGAATACATAAAAAAACTTATAACATAATATATTATTATATAAAAAAATTATTTTTGTATAATTTGCCACATTATCATGAATGAAAACACTAATTTACAGCATGAAGCTAGATGGATGTTTTGTTTTCTAAAATCTTATATTATCATTCTAATTAACCCGTAATATGTTATAAAAATAATTTGGAATGCCAATTTTTAAAAAAATTATTGCAAAACTTTGTCTTTATTGCATAACTTCGTCTTCGGAATAGTGTAACTCCTAATATAGAATTTTAAAATAAATTTAATTCTATAATTATGTAGGCGTTCATTATGTTTTATTCACCAATGAGAAATTCATCAGTCAACACTCCCTCTTTCCATCAACCTCTTCAACAAGATACTCCACTTTCTTTTGTTTCACTCTCCATCTCCACGGTCCACCTTTCTACTATTTCTTTTAAACCTCAAAACTAAGACACGCCCTAATATTTCTAGTTCACTTATTTTAAAACACTCTATCAAGGAAATACAATGCCAAAACCTTATATTCATATTCTGACAGCATATTGAGATAATGTACAGATTGTTTTAGAAATCATAACAGTTTACTATATCATGAACACAAATTCAGCAGTGAAGTGATATGGATAAGATGTGCATCAAATAGATACCAAACTAAAGTGTCAATTGTTTTATCTTGTTAAATGCAACTAGTTAACAGAGATCAACACAGAAAACACGTATTATCATGAAACTTTCAGTTGTTAAAAGTGCAATTATTCCAAATGCAAATCTAAAATGCATTCAAATGCTCACACAAAATATAAAGAAAACAATGTGTAGAGTTAAAAATCTAAGACCTTAATACTTTTGTGAAGTCATTAAATTCAACTCTAATGCAGGGCACAATGGCAACTGCCATTTATGTTTAAAATGCAATATAGCAATGCCATTCTAACTATAGTAGGTGACTCCAAAAATTTTCAGTAAGATTGTCTACACTGCGAGATTGCAAGACTTAAACCCCTTCCTGTTAAGACCAAAAATCCTAAAGAAAATTAGACTTTGATATGAGCAATAAGAGTAACAACTCATAATAGTGCTAGCTAAAACAAATCAGAATTACTCAGTTTATAAGAAATATAACCCGTGGTATAACAAGTAGATTCACCTTTCTTCTTATTGGTGCCAGAAGAATTGACTGTAGATGTTATATTCCCAATTCCACAACCAGGGAGCTCCTTCAACCCAGAAATCATGTTCCCAAGGCATTGCATATTCTCAAATTCACAATTATCAAAGCCTTGACTGTCTGATGCTGTACCTTCACCACTTTTTCCTTCCACCCCTGGATGAAGGCAGTAGACCTGATCATTACATTGCATATTACACGGATTTATCACATATGCACCGGGCAAGTTTGAATTAGCCAGGTTTTGATTGGCCTGCTTCTGATAAGGGAAAGATCCAATCTCCCCTTCAATCCTTCCTCGTATGTCCACAAGCAAACACTTGAGCCTTGCAATCTCGGCCTCCAAAGCAGCCTGACCCTGCAACCTCTTCAACAACTGCTGATTCAATGACCTCAATCTAACAACTTCATCCTCTAATGATGCAGTACGAGCCTTCTTCTTCTCACGATACTTGCGAACCGCTTCACGATTTCCCAGTGGGCGTTTCTTTGATTTCTTCTCTGCAGACTCTGCAGTATCATCGGTAGCAACCTTATCCTCGGGCGTGGCAGGTAAAATTTTGGTGTGAACATGAAAACAAGTGTGTGTATGAGAGAAATCAGGGCCCGGTGGATTGCAAGTATGGGTATGAGTGCAGGCATGTGTGTCATTAAGAATATCATCGAAAATGCTGTCCATAGAGCAACTACTTGGGAGATTACCAAGGCTGGAGCTTGAAAACAGTTCTTGGTTTGAGAAATCAAGCTCCCCGTCGTCCATTATGAAGAAACAAAGAAAGTAAACAGAAAAAAAAAAATTTGAAATTCTGATCGGACACGGATAAAAATTTGCGATGTAGATACTCAATTTCTTGATAGGTATTAGCTATTTCAAAATGGGTGTTGACAACCACCGAAACCCTAGAAAGAAAAATAAACAACAGCACACAATAAAATTAAGACTTGAAGAGAATAACCCACATAAAAATGTTGTGTTTATGGAGATATTTAGAGCCAGCAACTTAAAGTATCAGCAATATACAAAATGGATTTGAGAACAAGTCAATCTAGAATCAAATTCAAGCCCTAGAAACAAACTGCATAAATACTACAGTTAAAAATTTAAGCGTGAAAACTCATAATTAATGTTATTTGTTATATAGAGCAGCCAAGATAAACAATTAACGAACTTGAATTCAAGACAAGAGTTTAATCAATAATACAGGACTTACCATTGATACCCCACAAAGTATCAAAAGCACAAAGCAACTTAATAAAGTCAAATCGCTGCGATTGGATTTTTTTTTTTTGGGCACAAAGCTGTTCGATGAAAGATGATGAAATCGAATTTGAAACCCTAAACACGAGGAGAAGGTGTTGATTGAGAGAGACAGTGATGGAGATAAGAAACCCTAATAAAGGCTAAAAAGGATTGATATACATGGCAGCATTTCAATGGCGGTAAAGAAATTGAGGAGCCATTAGTTGAATCAATCAAAAGATTCTATGGCATTACATACATTACTGTCTCTCTCAAACAAGTCGAACGCTTTCGGCCTCAATTTATAGGTGGTAGTTCAGTGGACCCTATTGAATAATTAAGCCCAATAATGATTAGTATATTGAGAAGTTATACCATACAGGTGAAGTACCGTGGATTTTTATATTTTTTAATTCATTTATTTATTTTGTTTTACCTCGAAAAGCAAAAAAGAAAAAATAAGAAGAAAAAAAAAGTACAATGAATAGGTCAATTGGATACATCATAGATTATGTAGTATTTAGAGTAAAGTGCAAAAAAAACCAGTCTAAATTTGTAAATAATTCTCTTGAATTATGTTTTGTGCATAAAGCTTCATAAATTATCACATTTGTTACAAAATTTCCCATTGCGTTGCCTATTTTTCATTAAATGACCCTAATACCCTTTCTTATTAAATTACACTTGATATATTTTTCTTGTTAAAATAAATTATGAAAAAAATTCATACTAATTTGATGAAGTATTCTCCATTAAATTTGCATAAGTTTGTATTTAATTTTTTAAATTAATTATTTAAATAGAAAATTTTGAAACAATTTAAGTAATTTCTTAATTTTCATGAATATATCGCATTAAAAAGAATATATATTTTTTATTTACGTAATTTACTAATTTTTCTTGAATATTGTTTGAAAAAAAAGATATTTTTTTATATTAAATTTTTTTTTAAAGTGAGTATAATAAGTTTTATTATAATAAGTTAATCATTTTAGAGAATAATAGCTACAAATTTTTTTTTCTATTTTTATAATCGATTGATACTAATTATAAAATTAAGGTAAATGGTTAATTAATATTTAAATAAGAGAAAATTTAATAAAAAAAATTTAATTAGAAATGACAAATTTAATAACAAAGCCTAAAATAATCTTTTGTGATAAGTTTGTTGCCCTTAATTGCAACCATCAATAGTTTAGGGGGATAATCTTTAATTAGGGTGGTTAATTAAAAAAAATCAATAATTCAGAATTTTTTTTTGCACTTTACCCTTGTATTTACTCTATAACTAGTAAAAGAAGAGAAGGAAATAGCGTCCACTCGAATATAAAAATTCCTTAATTTTTCTTTTAAAAATACTTTGATTTTCATTTCTCTTATTAGGTGTGTTATTTCATTTAGAGGCCTTCTTGTATTATTATCTCGCTTGTACATCAACTAAATTGCATATTTTGTAAAACATTAATTATTATTATTATTTGTATATATTACACTACGAATTTATTCCACTAACAATATATAAACAACAAGAATCAAAACACACATCTCCTTCTAGAGAATTCGAATTCATCCGATATTCACTTCAATCATATGTCTTCCATGATTTCTAAATGGCCTCCAGTAGAAAAGTAAAAATTCTAACCAACTTGACAAGAGAGAGTAAATCTCAATTTTTTTTTTGGTTAAATCTTAAAATAAAAATAAAATAAAATAAAAAAACCTGACAATAGAACTCAAATTTTACTTTTACACATATGCGTTGATATTTGATATAGGATATCTATATTCTCTTTTAATTTTAGTAATTTCCTAATTTGTCTATTTATTTAATTTTTTTGAAAATAATTTCCAGAACAACCATTTTTAAGAATTCATAATAGTCAGCTCATCGTACACGCTCTACTCTTGATCATCATTACTTGAGAGCTTCGGCAGATAATTTTGACTCTTTAATGAGCATCCCTTTCCCTTAAAAAGTAGCAGCATTTATAAGTAGATCATCAATCAACAAGATTAGATGGCTACAAGATTGATGATAAAAAAGCAAGTATTCTTCTGTCTTTTTATGTCCCGTCCAATCTATATTTTTTGGTCCAATAATATTATCATACATGTAAGAAATAAAAACTATTTTATGCGAAGAGATGTTTAGCGCGTCCCATTAACTCGATGCGCTGAGCGCATACTTGGGTATTTAGTACCCCAATTAACTTAATACACCCATTAACTTGATGCGCTGAGCGCATACTTAGATATGCATTGAGCAAATATCTAAGCATTTAGTGTACCCATTAACTCAGTACCTAGTATTTAGTTTGCCCGTTAACTCAGTGCACTAAGCGAATACCTAGTCTCATGTAAATGACTAAATGCCATTTTAAAAAAAATAAATAAATAAAAATGCAAGTAATTAATTCAATTATGTTAATCACAAATTTAGACTACTTTAAATTTAATTGCAGAGGAGACACAGGACATTCACAAAGCCATGATAGAAACCATCAGAACTGAGAACACATAATAATTACATTGGTGGACTAAACTGCAATTAGTCACCAGGCTTTCATTTATTCCAATTTCCAAGCAAAGAGATGCTCAAAATTACAAGTTACAAACTTACAGTGCTAAAAACACATGTATATATATAGTTTCAACAGCCAAACTTAGTTCATCTCTGAAAGTTATGAAAGATTGAGAGAGACAAGAAGCGGACGATCATGGTATCCACGAGATTGTGGATTAGCCCATGGCATACTTCTGGGTCCAGCTGCGAGCTGTGGACTCATATTTAAGTTTATCAGTTTTGCACATACGAGCAATCTCAGCTTCCAGTGGATCGTCAGGGTTTGGGTCCGTCAGCAGTGAACATATGGACAGTAGAACCTGCATGAATTACCCCATTACATTTTTTATTAACATTCTGTGCTCGAGAAACACTGAAATCTGAACAAACAATAGCAGTGAAAGTAATCTCATTTGTGGATGCCAGTTGGACAAGAAACATGGTCCAACAAGCATAAAAATGCAAATTTGAATTCGAAAGCAGTTGCTTTGTGCTAAATAATGTCAAATATTCGGTTTATCTCTAACTGATGTCCCATCCAGGACGGACCTAGTAATGGCCTTCTTTTGTTATTGTACATCAACGTATGGAGAAACAAAGCTAGTTTCATTTCCATGTAAAGACACAGAACTTTCTGGAAAACATCACCTTGGATATGGTGAGAGCAGGACTCCATTGTTCTTTGAGTATGTCCAAGCAGATATTCCCATTAGTGTCTATGTTTGGATGGAAAACTTTGGTCCTAAAGGCAACCTGAAAGTAGTTTTAACAAGGACATCGTCAGAAATTCAATGTAAACATGTTTGAAATAAAACCATAATGATTTGTTAACAAAGACTAGTTGTAAAACGAAATTGAATTGTAATATGATTGATCATAAAGAGCCTCCTTCTAGCTATAGCAAAGCACACAAGTAGAACTAATCATCTCAGCTCAAGTAAGTACCTTTGGTGGTTTGAAAGGATAATCAGGTGGAAAATGGATGGTCACAAGGAAGACACCACCAGAATAGGGGCTATCATTTGGACCAATGATGGTTGCTTGCCAGTGGAACATATTCTTCGCAACAGGACCTATAACATACCATAATCAAATCACATTAGCAAATAAGAACTAGCAATTCTGATGAAACCCATTTTAATTTGTCTGCTATGTTCGTACCTGCACTGCATGAAGTTGGTGGGTCTCTCTGTAACTCCTTAAGCTCCTTTAAGATTCTCTTTGATGCCATTAAAGCAATCTAGCAAGAAGAAAATCTTAAAAATAAGAAATGAGAGATGAATAACACAAGAGGCAGAGGATCCAAAAGCGGAGGAAGAGAAATAATCTATGAAAGCCCAAGTTGGCGTGTATTTAATGGAGGAATAGGTTATGGTGGTGGTGGGGCTAGACTCAGGGAAAGAAGGCGGCTCACTATTTTTCAGAAAAGTGATAAAAGCTGTTATAGATTCCACAAGAGAAAGTGGTATATAAAGAATCAAGGGGCTCTGAAAGTTGAAAGCAACATAAACGTTGATACTACAATAGAACTGGAAGAAATCAGCAGTTTCAAGTTGCTTGATAACTAAAATAGGATTGCCATTGTTAAACACTCGATTCAATTTGAAACTGTAACATCAATTGTAAGGGATGGCTGAAATTTGGAGGACAACTTTCCGGGACACAACCAATAAGGATTATGAGGAATCACTAGCAGATGCCACTTTAATAAACGTAAAAGCCCGGAATCACCATCCATCTACAGAGAATCTGGAGCAACTTTTTAGTCCATAAACGTAAAAGGTCATTGAGGAGCCCCGAATCACCATCGTCCACTCAAAAAAATAAAAGCATCACAAATCCTGACTTACAGAATCCTTCAAAAGAAAAAAGATAGAATGTTTGGTCCACTGCAACTATGAAGAATAGCCCCACGAAATTCTCATGTTTTTCGTAAGTTTCCATTTCTAATTCCCTACACAATTCCTTTCACAAAATCACTCTGTAATTTGACTACCTATTCCACAACAACTCCTATTCTAAGCTGAATTGGAATTTGAAATGCCAGAACTGATAATATAGTAGATTTCTCTTCGGCAAATGCGTAAGAAATTTCAAAGCACGGGAAATAGTTGCCTAATAAATCATTGTGCCAAATGCAAGCAAAATAGTACATATGAGCAGCATGCCTGAGTTTCCAGATAAAAACTTGCTCAGTACAGGCGAATAATTGGAATAATTCAACAGGATCACAACTTTTGGTATGCCTCTCACAAAGTATGAGTATTCTAAACCAGATTACAAAGTATGAGTATAAGCACGTCCACAAGTGCAAATGGTTATGATTACTACATTATGTAGATGTAGACCCGAAGGTATAAGAGTTCTGCACGTTATCAAACACAATTTATGTTATTGATATATAGATTAGACCACAATTGAGAAATCGATAGCCCAACAACTTTGATGGACGAACAGAGCCCCCGTAGAGTCAGTCAAGACTACGGACCACATCCAACTGCTCCCTCAAAGTGGAAAGATAATGAGATAGATCGAGTGACTAACAGGTTTAATCATTTACTTTCTCCATCACATTATACTACATCCCTTTCGTCCCTTTCTCTTCTTTTTCTTCTGCTTTGGTGGCTGGAGAACCACCTTGATGGCCACATCAAAAACAGCCTTCACATTCTGTAATTTGAAAGAAGTTAAATTAAATAACTAGAGGTCATAAAAGAACTTCACCATAAGGATTCACAATGATGTAACTAAAATATATCCACCTGCTGTGTTTTTGAACTACATTCAATATAAGCAGGAGCTCCAATCAGCTTTCTGAGTTCCTCTCCCTTCAAAAGAAAGTAGGAAGTTGAGTTTTTCTCGAAGGGGTTTGCATCCTCAGATGCAAACCAAATGGGGACAAGATAATTTGTCAAAGGCTCAGAAAATGACTTAATGAACATAGGTTGCAGGAGCATCTACCTGAGATGTGGTAATGGGAACTGCACCAGGGTGGTCTATGAAGAACTGTTTATCTTCCCGAAGATCTACAGAAAGCAAAATCACAAGTCATTTACATTGAAGGACTTCTCACGGACGCACACACATACTAGAAGTTTTGGTAGCTATTAAAAAAATAAAGAAAGAAGTGAATGATGAAATTCTACTAATGCAAATATTCATGATAGCAAACTAAGGAGAAATGAAGCAAGCATTGTACAAGAATAAAATAAAAAAAACTGATACTATTCAATTTAATAATGACAGAGAATGTGGTTTCTACTGGAAATTACAAGAACAGAACATATTGATATATTGCAATTGAGGAATGAAGATGAAATCTACCAAGTATATCACAGCAGACACCAAAGTTTCTATGCATATCAGTGTAATAAAAACAACACCAGCAAGTCCAAGTTGAACCACATACATTTATAGGTCAATGCAGACAAATTACTAAAAAATGCACTAAATAGGGAATATTCAAAACATACAAAAAGTAGGGAATACTTGTAAAACTAGTAGAACATGGTGTCTGAAAAACTGGATGAATGCATAATTACCTAAACCTATTCTCAGAGAACAAAAGCATTAAAGTTTAAGGTATCGATTTTTCCAGGACTGTTAGGAGAAACATTCCAGACGGATGGGAAATTTGAACTTTGGAAATGGAACAATTTTGGAATTCTCATGAAACAGCTTCCAAGATCTGTGAGGAATTCTGTATTTTTCTATGTAACCTTTTCTTATTGGTTTTGAAACTTTATTCTAAGATCTCGACCTAAATAATTACATGAATTGGCTCTCGATGAAGTTTGGTTCAGTCACTTTAGATCCTTGAAAAAGTTTTTTTGTACCATTTGACCGGAATGTTAACTATTGCTTAAATAAAGGCCCAAGGTGTGCAATTCTAAATGCTTTCTCAAAACGCTTGAAGGCAAGAACAAGACAACAACAACAATAAAATCAAAATTTTAATTTCGTTTTTCAAGCTGATGTGGCAGCTCCTAGTGAACTACTAAAGCAAAATTTCGTAAGGACCCTCACTGAAATATCTCTACTACTAGCTGTACTCCTTTTTCCAAGAATCCTCAATAAAAAGGTGCCATATTTTGGGCATAAAAAGATGCAAACCTAAAGATCTTGAAAATAAAAGATAAATATCCAACAACTGCACTTTGAATACCGAAAACAGGGACCTAAGTATGCAAATATGCTTTAAGGCAACTTGAAAACATACTCTAACTATAATATAATATAATTCATCAAATCCACAAGAAAAACAACAATTCAGGTCAAAATTGTCTTTTAATAAAGAATAACTGTTATTTTTGTGTAAACATTTCAGATACAAATGAAAAGGTAGCAAATAGTAACATTAGCACGAGTAATAGGAGAATCTAACCAAGCTTCGTTCCAACGAGAATTATTGGAACCCCCGGTGCATAATGCTTCAATTCTGGAATCCACTGATCATCAAGACATTAGAACACAAACAGAATTCATTAGCACACCATACTTTTACTGCTAAGACAACTAAGGGATATGAAAGGAGTCCTACACTTCTTGTTGCTTCAGAATCCATTTTAAATATATATATATTAAAAAAACTAAATAAAACAAAAAAACAACTAAGTTAGATAGTTTAAATAAACTCAGTCAAGGACGCATCTTGTATTATCAGGTCCCAAATAGTGGTGGTGGTGGCGGGGGTGGGGAGATTGGAACTCCAAATTACTTTCTTTCATATGCACATTTTCGTGGCAAACAGTGGAACATAAAACTATACTTTCAGGGAAAACAAATTCATAAAGGTTTGGAGACAGGCTTAACTGGACGCGAAGAAAGGAAAAATGATGTGAGAGAAAGAAAATTTTCTATCTCTACATGTTTAAAGCTAACCTCACCTTTTTGGAAACATTTTCGTAGCTGGCTTTGCTAACAAGAGAAAATGCAAGTACAAAGATATCAGCTCCACGATAGCTCAAAGGTCTTAATCTGTTGTAATCCTCCTGGCCTGTTCCATAAAAGAAAACAGTCAGACCCAGCACTAGAAGTCTGAAGAAGCAAACAAAGAAGGAAATTCGCAAGCCACAAAATGTTTACCTGCAGTATCCCACAACCCCAGATTTACAGTGCTCCCATCCACAACCACATTTGCACTAAAATTGTCAAAAACAGTCGGCACATAGTCCTGTTCCAGTGTCATAAAAATTTTGACAAAAAAGAAATCCTTAAAAAGTTGCATTTATCATAAATATCACCTGAATTCCATCAATTATTGAAAAATCACATGAAGAAAAAACAAAAAAAAAAAAAAAAAGTTCACGCACTGATATATCTAGCCTTTAGAATCAAGTGAAGCACATCTAAACCCACATATCATAAGTGGAACATGCTATGAAAAATAATTAAAGGCTTAAAGCTGCAAAATCATACAGTAGCGTTCGGATACGAAAGACTACCTTCTTTTTGTTACAGGTGTGGTATTATGGGTCATATATTGACGAGGTCTAAATCAGATAATAGTTTATCCTCGGATCCAAACCCTTCAGGCTTGCCTTTTGAAGGTACAATGGGTATAGTTTAAAGGTTTCTTTTGTATATTTACCGTAATCAGACCCAAAGTAAACACGCTTACCCATGAATATCAACTAAATAAAGTCTATGAAATCCTAATTTCTATCTGGGTTCTTGAATCTTCCCTCCCATCTTTTTACAAAACAAACAGCAATGCAAAAATATATTCAATTTTCTTTAACATTGTCACATACAAATTGGGGAAAAGTAATGAAAACCAAAAAGCAAGCGCCTTCTTCTAGAAAACCAAAATATCCCTAATTTGCTCAAATCAAACCAAAATTTGTTGCCCATTTGCAATAAGAATCAAAAGGGGTCATAAAGTAAGCATTTCTGGTCAAGAATGTCAGTTTTTTAAGGACCCAAAAAAGGCCTAATGGTTCCTACTCGAAACAGAGGAACAGTATTTCAAATTCAACAAAGTTGGGTACTCACAGTGGGAAAGGTGTTACTGGTGTAGGAGATTAGCATACAAGTTTTACCAACAGCTCCGTCGCCGACGGTGACACACTTGATGAACCTAGACGTGTTCATTTTCTTCGCCGATGGTGACCTCCGACCTATTCACAACCCAACCGCTATTTATAGTGCTGTGCTCTTCTTTAGATGTTCTTGGTCTGCTCTTCTTGGTGGTAGTATTTATAATATAAAAGTGTTTTCAAAGACTAAGTAAGCTCACAGCACTAACCAAAACCCCGCCACAATTATAAACCTTAATTAGATATAATTTGGATGATTACAGAAGACCTAACATCACAGGTGCATTGATTGATCTAGACAGAAGGGTGAGGAAAGCGATGGTGAGTGAGAGAGGCCAGTAGGAACTAGGAGGGTCCAATGAGTCCATGACAAACCCAGCTAATTAGTACGGAGTACAGTATATTTTACTAGATCATTCGATTCATTCTTTAGACCCAACCCCACCCACACATGCGGTTTGCCGACCGATACCGACTCGACCTATTGGTCCGTACGCGATTCCTTTATTTAAAAATTGTTCACATTGGTCATAATACTAGGGAAAGGAAAAAAAAATTAATACGGATAGAATTAGTTAAAAAAATAATAATAACATGTGATCTATGTAATTAGACCATCAAATAATTGAAAAAATACTTAGTAGCTTGGAAATCGTTTTGTTAAAAGCGTGATATAATTTTATTCATAAATTAGAAGAACTTAGTATGTCCTTACTACTTACCTCATCTTTGGTGAGAAGGAAAATCAATAATAAAAAATTATACCTTTTGAAAAATAAAAATATATGAATAAAATAAATTTTTAACTTCAAATATTGTTTGTATTACAATATATATTTTTTCCCTGTTAATATGTCAAATACATAGTGTGTAGTGCACCAGAAGCAAAAATAAACATAGAGATCCATATAATATAGAATAGAGTAGTGTCACACACAAAACACTGCACCACAGAATTTACATGATTTATTTAAATTTAGGATTACGTCTCTAATGATAAAGAATATTATAATTTGTAGAGAATTATTGCTATTAAAATAACTTGTGCATCTCATCTAGAGTTTTTCTTTTGTGATCTGGCTACCGGGGTGGAGGTCCTGACTATGGAGGCACCCTCCCCCCTTGAAAAATTTGTTTAATTGTATTTTTTATGTATATTTCTTAAAATTACAAAATTCCCCTTAAAAATCACTAAAAGTGCTCCTAATTTTTTGTTAAAGAGTTTTAATTAGATTACTACTTGTCCTCATTTTTCTTTTCCTTTTTATTCTTATTTTTTTTAAAAAAAATATTCCCTCTATGCCCTCTAGAATTCAAATCCTGACTCCTTATGCCCCTCACATAAAATTCTAACTTCGTTAATCGTTAGTACAACTATTTATGTAAGTCTATTAACATGTGTTGGTATTTGGGCGAGAGAAATCGTCAAAAGTCATTCCAAGTTCCAACCCTCCATCCATGTTCTTATAATTATTTTCAATAAATAAAAGTCCAAATTCACCAGTACAAAAGAATAAAAAATTCTGCATGGAGTTATATATATTGTTTTTATGCTACATTATCTTTAAAAAGATTTTCTTCTTTCTTACCAAAGTTCAAAATATATACACACATGCATTATAACGACCCAAATCCGTATATCCGGACCGTTACTCGGGTCCTTACTCGAACCCGAGGTCATCTACGTTAAACCTAACATTTCAAGTGTCAAAACGTGCTTATCCGGATCAAAATCAAACTTTTCCAAGGCTCTAAGCAACCCAAGGGTTAAGAATGAGCTACAAGGAAGAAGGAGAGACAAGACCCCAAAACAGGCTCACTTCGGTCGACCGAAGTGGAGCTTCGGTTGGCCGAAGCAGGCCTTCCTGAACCGGTCAACCGACATACAACTTCGGTCGATCGAAGCTAAGATATCGAGAGCATAAAAAAAAGGTTTCGATCTACCGATGAGCCATTTCAGTCGACCGAAGTGGCTTCTTTGAGCCCTGCATCCAGATCTGACCTGCTACCTTGTAAATGAACTGAAAATGGCAGGGAAGCTAATATGGAAACTTTACATCATAGACAACTTACATCAAAATGGATTTTCAAGCTTCTAATTATATCATCCGTTACATAACCAATGAATTTGATACATTTTACATCATATGCTTTACAAAACAAGTTCAAATTCAACAAAATACGTTCAAAATGCCCTTCAAGTTCTCTCAAGTCTGTGGTGGATTTTCATCCGCCAATTCTTTGCCATGACCTGAAAAAAAAAATGTAATATATATATTGGGGTGAACAAATTGCTCAATAAAAGGTACTTAAGACACGACTCTTGTGTCCCCGTGAATCCATACAAGGAATAGAATAATAGGAGATAGGGATCATACAATGTCGGGGTAATACACAACATAATGACAATTCTCAATATAACCAAATGCAATGCATGCCAATGTCGCTCCCCGTTTTCATTCCAAAACCGTCACTTTCAAACGGTTAATATAACCCGCCCTTTGGTGACCCCGCAGCGACACGAGAGAAGCCCCCAGCTAGCTCAACCACGTTAGGGCGACTCCCTAGTTCCCTCTAGGCTATATTAATCCTCCGGCCCTTTGGTACCCCCGCGGCGACCTGGTTTTCATTAAACCGTTTCATCAAAACTCTTTCCCAAAAGTCCCAATTTTTCTTTTCAAAACGATTCCCTTTATGCAAGCCCAATGTTATACATATGAATCTCATGCTTTTATTACAATAATACTAAGAGATTTCTCACAACACGATTAAACATGTTCTTATACATCATTTATTGCATATTAACAACATAGTAAACTTAAAAACTCATATACAAACATGTTTATCATACAAATTAAATTAATACACATCCTCGTACATTCATACATGTTCCATCAAGTCAAAGTAACTATAATCACTACAATTAAGCATGCTAGTACACAAAATCAAGTAGATTAACTCACTAAAGCACAAGACTTCGTGGATTAAGGACCCCTGCTTCAATAATGAGCAAAACCCTCCAAATGGGTCTCTAAATTCGAAATCCAAAGGGAGGCTCAAGGCTGAAATTGTTGCTACTCACGCTTAGAGCTCGTCGTGCTCTCCGTTTTGCCCCAAACGGCACTCCAAAATTCCAAAAAATGTGAAAGAAATCAAAGATCAAAGCTTGTTTACAAAAAGAAAAGAAAAATGAAGAGGAAATGAAGGAGAGAAAGAAAACTAGCGACAGAGAGAAAATAGGAATGAAAATGTATATATCTCGATAAACATGAGACCCCTGAACATCGGTGATGTGGTACCGTGGACGTGGTTCACACACCATGTTTGATCATCTGAGTAAGCCAGGTGACAATAACTCTTCCCGCCATTTTCGAGTTTCTGGTTTGGTTAGTGATACTAGGTCAAAAATCCATTACATCCAACCCTCCTTCACACGCTCCTCAACTCTTTCTCTTCCTTCCAAAAATAGAAATATATATAGAGAGAAAAACAGAGATATATACATACAAATAAACAGCAATCACCTGAAACTCTGTTTCTTTCCACCCAAAACTACCACTGATTTTCCCCTTTTCGTCGATGATAACTACTAAAAATGGCGGTATCAATTCCAGCACTCGTGTTAGCCTCTCTTTCCTTTCTGGTTACTTGCGCAGTTTGCCATGAGACAAGCGTGACCTATGATGGACGATCATTGATCATCAATGGATCTAGAGATCTTCTCTTTTCTGGGTCCATTCATTATCCCCGTAGCCCTCCTGAGGTAATCTTCAATTACAATTATCAACAATACACATACATAAATCAAGAATACAAATACATATGTCTCTGTGTATATACATATATACTATTATATTGCTTTCAAGTGTCTCTCCATTTTCTCTACTTTTTGGGATTATAAATTATAAATCAGCAAACTCAAGGCACAAGCCTCCCGTCCCATCATTGTGGGGGCCTGAGGGGTCAAATGTAAGTAACCTTATTTTGTACCTTTCTGTACATATTATTTGTGAATAATGGATATGGTAATTTTTTTATTTTTTATTTTTTTGAAGGATAATAATGGATATGGTTATTGATTTAATAAATCTGTTGAATTGAATTCAGATGTGGCCAGACATCCTTAAAAAGGCTAAACGAGGAGGTTTGAATGTCATATCGACTTATGTTTTTTGGAATCTTCATGAGCCTGTTCAAGGCCAGGTAATGTATTGTTTGTTTGATTCAAAATGTTGTATATATATATATGTATGTATGTAAAAGGATCAATGTGAATTTTGTTCAACATTGCAGTTTAATTTTGAGGGGAATGGTGACTTGGTAAAATTCGTCAAACTGATTGGTGAGCATGATATGTATGTAACACTCAGGGTTGGGCCCTTCATCGAGGCTGAATGGAACCATGGGTACGTATCGATTTATCGTTTTCTTCCTCTGCTTTATTTGTCTTTTTGGTATCATAACATGGTTATTAGATTCCCATTTTTACATGCACATTATGTTTGAATGTTAATCTGAGCAGAGGATTTCCATATTGGCTAAGAGAGGTCCCAAACATCACATTCCGTTCCGATAACGAACCATTCAAGGTGCAAATCTTCAATCCCTCAAGGAGGTCCAAACAAGATTATGTATTTGTGTGTGTAGATATTTAGAGTGAAATGCAATTAAACAGCTAATGTAACTAAAATTTTCCATAATTTCAGTACCATATGAAAAGATATGTCACCATGATCATAGATTTGATGAAAAAAGAGAAGTTATTTGCTCCTCAAGGAGGTCCCATCATTATGACACAGGTTTTCTCCAGTTTAATGACCATTGTAGAAGATATTTTCAAGATTTCATTTTTATCTAACTTCTCTGATTGATAGTGTAGATCGAAAACGAGTACAACAATATCCGTATTGCATTCAAGGAGTTGGGTACTCGATACATTCAGTGGGCAGCAAATATGGCCATTAGTCAACAAACAGGAGTCCCATGGATCATGTGCAAGCAAAATGATGCTCCTGGTCCGGTGGTAAGTTCATATCACCTTTGTGCATCGAACTTTTAGTGATCTGAAGAGACATCATGTATGACTTCCTAGAACTTCACACAGTAGATAACCAATAATGATCAGACATAAAACTAGAGGAAGATTAAACCATTTATGTCCTGTTTTCATTCCGGCATTATGCTCAATTTTGTGCAGATTAATACATGCAATGGGAGGCACTGTGGAGATACTTTTGTAGGTCCAAATACTCCTAGTAAACCTTCTCTATGGACCGAGAACTGGACTGCTCAGTGAGTGTACTACTTAATGGCATACTTAAACCCTTAATCAGATTTAGTATATGCAAAGCATAACAATCAACATAAATATCAGTATTGACAGAACAAACTGTAGTAGTAGATCAAGCACATATGATTTTACTTTTAGCCATACACTGTTGATGAATTGGGCTGGTTCTTGCTGATGAATTGCTCATCATTTAAATTAACAATATGGTTACAGGTATAGAGTATTTGGAGACCCACCATCTCAAAGAGCAGTAGAAGATATTGCATATTCAGTTACCCGCTTCTTCTCAAAGAATGGAACTCTCACCAATTATTATATGGTATGTGACTATAGTGTCAAGAGTTTTGCATCAAAACATTTGTCAATCAATTTCTAAGCTAGTTACTTTTCTGTATAAATCACATCAAATTGCAGTACTACGGTGGGACAAATTTTGGTAGAACGACTTCATCTTTTGCGACAACTCGCTACTATGATGAAGCTCCTCTCGATGAATATGGTTGGGTTTGTCAAATTTCATCTGTAGCTATTTAATTAATATCATTCAAACATTTAAATAGGCTTCCTTCCACTTGCCTTCTAGGTTTGCTGAGGGAACCCAAATATGGTCACCTTAGGGACTTGCACAGGGCTTTAAGATTGTCCAAGAAGGCTTTGCTATGGGGGACTCCTGGAGCACAAAGGGTGAGCAAGGATCTAGAGGTAAGCATTCCAATCGAATGAAGGTTCTAGAGAAGGAGATGGCTACTGACAAGCTAAGCTGTTCTGCTATGTAGATTCGGACATATGAGAAGCCTGGAACAGACCTTTGTGCTGCTTTCCTGAACAACAACCATTCCGAAGAAGCTGCTACCATTAATTTCAGGGGTACAAATTATTACCTTCCTGCCAAATCCATCAGCATCCTCCCTGACTGCAAGACTGTTGTTTTCAATACTCAAACGGTAACCTCTGATGTCTTGTAAAGAAATATTGATTTTCCAATGCAGTTTAAATGCCAACTACAAAATAAAGGGCTAGAATCTGCATTACAGAACTTGAATAATTGGATTGCACTGATAGTGGAAGAATGTTTAGTCATCCTTGTTTGATTCTGAGAACAGGTTGTTGCACAACACAATGCTAGAAATTTCTATCCATCTAAGAATGCAAGCCATCTTGAATGGGAAATGTACCAAGAAAAAATTCCAACCATTAATGAACTACCAGTTAGGAATAAGATGCCATTTGAGCTATACAGCTTCGCCAAAGATACCTCAGATTATGGATGGTACAGCACCAGGTAACCATATTTTAAAATTTAAACCCCTCTAGAAGAAATGTGATTTGTTTCCAGACCCTTTTAAGAATTTTTGTAATTTAAAACTGACTTCTTCTTTTTTTCCCTGTTTGAATTTGTGGTTGTAGCATAAATTTTGATATCCATGACTTACCAATGCGTCCTGATATCCTCCCAGTCCTACAGATTGCAAATCTTGGTCATGCAATGGCTGCTTTTGTAAATGGCGAATATATAGGTAATAGTACATACATACAGACACGTAATTGTTCCATAGCTACATATAGACATGCCTGATGCTAAAATGATATTTGTACATGCCAAATGGTGGCTACAATCTTCAGGATTTGGACACGGGAGCAACATAGAGAAGAACTTTGTCTTTCGGAAACCCATAAATTTGAAGGCAGGAGTTAATCACATATCATTGTTGGGCATGACAGTGGGATTTCCGGTAAAGAACAAGTAAACACTTGTTGTTACATTTCTGTTATATTAGGAAGAGAGACTGATGACATGCTCTATCAATGAAGGATAGTGGAGTCTACATGGAACATAGGTTTGCTGGGGTCAGAGATGTGCAAATCAAAGGTATGAATGCTGGAAACCTTGATTTGACATTCAACAATTGGGGGCACCAGGTATGCATGAACTTCCTATATCAGACTCTGCACTCAGTTCTTCCCACAATATATATGTATATATAGTAAATATGATTAGATTTTAATCTTTTGCCAAATTGGTAATGTAATAGAGTCGACGCCCATTCTGCAGGTTGGTGTAGAAGGAGAGAATCTCCAGATATACACGGAGGAAGGATCACGTAAAGTACAATGGACTCCGGCAAAGGGAGGAATGCAGCCTGTTACATGGTACAAGGTAATGCCATAGTAACCTTTTCTACTTTGTGGGGTCAGGAATTCGAGAATAGTATTATGGTGGAAAGGGAAAAGAAAAGAGCAATTATCAGAACGAAATTTTCAATAATTTCAAGAAAATTTGATTAAGCATGGCAAAAGTGGATTGCAAATTAAAAAACAAACATTTCCATCTTTAAAGTTATCCAAAATTCCAAAAGCCAGTGAATTTTCTTGTTGTAGACATACTTTGATGCTCCAGAAGGCAATAATCCCGTTGCTCTCCAAATGACCACCATGGCTAAAGGGATGGCTTGGGTCAATGGTAAAAGCATTGGTCGCTACTGGGTATCTTACCACTCACCTCTTGGACAGCCTTCTCAGTCCGAGTAAGTAATGTGCATGTTAATTATACATAATAAGAATATGTTCATTTTAAAGCAAACTACGGATTAAATTGAATTTTGATAGATAAACAAGTGTACATGTGTTTGTATCAGGTACCACATTCCAAGAGCCTTCTTGAAGCCAACAAAAAATCTCCTGGTTGTCTTTGAGGAAACCGGAGGAAATCCAGGAGGAATCAAGGTCCTGCTTGTTAATAGAGATACAATATGCAGCCTAATAACCGAGTATCATCCAGCCCATGTAAACTCGTGGGAAAGGGCAGAAAATCAGTTCCGCCCTGTGGTTGATGAAATTAAATCAGGAGCTCACTTATCTTGTCCTGACGACAAAGTAATTAAGGCTGTGGAGTTCGCAAGTTTTGGTGATCCTTATGGTATTTGTGGAACCTTTGCTCTGGGAAGATGCAATTCACCAAATAGCCAGAAAGTTGTTGAACAGGTGAAACTCTACTTCCTAGTACATAAGAAAAATGCTATTTAGACCTACTAGTATTTTCCTAAGCCGAGAAGTGTAGTTTTATGTTGCTTCCTGTTTAATTTGAGCAGCATTGCTTGGGAAAAGACAGATGTTCAATTCCATTTGACAGAGGAGTTTTCCATGACAAGAGCCACGATCCTTGCCCGGATATTGCCAAGACACTGGCTGTCCAAGTTAGGTGTGGGCATGACACTACAGACTAGACACAGCAGTTTTGCTTGTGGAAAGAGAAGCATGGAATTGCTCATCACCCATGTGACACACACTCTGTTTCTCTTAACAGCTAGTAGTAGTTTTTGAAGACTAGTTTAGAATCCCTCTCCCTCTATATATGTGAATGCTTATAGACTTTTAGTGGTCCTCTAGTGGAAAAGTCCCCACCCTGGAGTGAGTGAGTCTCCAAATAGAGCCCTAGAGTTTTGGTATGGGTGAGGGAGTCCCCAATTGGGCCTTATTTCATTTGTACTTAGTGATCAATTTTCCCTGTAATGCAAGTTTTGTTCTCTCTCTTTTTTGTTTCTTCTTTCATAATTGTATAAATTACCAGGTTAATTGCTCTAACACTCTTAAAACTATAGATAATTTTCACTTATCACTTGTTTGGCCCTTGAGCTATTAAATATTTGCAAATAAGCCTAACAGATACAGTATGTAATTTATTATTATGGTTTAAGAGTTTTTTTTTTTTTCAAAAAATTAAGCCATAAATAGTAGATGTCCGTTATCACGCGATACTACTAAGAATTTGGGATCAGCAATTTGAGAAAAGGATTCCTTTGGGGGTCTAATGACACGCAGAAAGCTTCATTGTCTCAGAAGTGCTTCAATCTCTGCATTGATTGTCAAATGTTTGGAAATGCGGATGTTTTCTCTTTCAATATTGCTCGGGGAGCATTGCAGATCCAAACTTCCAAAAGTGAGAAGGTATAAACTCTGTTGGAGAGGGTGCAGGGATTCAGTGGTTTGCTGTCTTGGTCTGCACAATAGATTGGCTTTGTTTTGAGAAGGGGTTTGCAGTTTCATTCAATGTGTCATAATTGTTGGAATGGAACATATCACAATCACAATGTCAATCCTCATCCCAGTTGCTGGACTCCTACAAACTTGAAGCACAAGCTCAACTCAAAATAAGATATTTGCTACATTTATTTGGCAAATTTGTTGTCAAAGGAATTCAAGGATGCACCAAAATATTTGAAGATCATCCACTGATATTGCAAGATTTGTTTGGTGGGAGGTCTTGCAGTTAACTTTGCTTGATGTATAGTCTTCTTAGGGGTTTCTCTGTTTAGTGCTGAGCCATTGCGTTTAGTTGCTGTTGACACATATTTTCATAAATTTTTTATAATAAAATTTTAATAAGTTAGGTGATGGGCAACATTTTTATACTCCACCAAGGTTTTTGTGTATACTTCTCTATTATTTTATTGTTAGTTTATTTGAGGTCCATCATTTGTATTTTGGAGTTCTTTCCTGGTTGATTACAAAAAAATAAAAATAAAATAATAATAATAATAATAATAATAATAATCTGAAGACCTACCGTTTACTAATTGAAGCCAGCTTTTACCTGTTTAAATTGGATTCAACTTTTGGTTCCAGTATCTTGAGAATTGCATAACAAAATATATAATTTCAAAATATTAAAAGTGCTAAATAAGAAAATAGTGACTAAATTTATTCTCAAAAAAATTGTCATTCCTACCGGTGGTACAATCACCAACGAGTAATTCATTCCTACAAACTACCAACCGTGATAGTGGTACAATCACAAATGCACAAATAACCTGTTTAAATAAACAAATCGACTAAATTTATTCCAAAACAAATACCATTACTCTAATTTGGCACAACATTAACCTTTGATTCCAAACCAGGTTAAAAGATTCACAAAGATGAAGATTTCATGAATCCATTTGTTAAAAATCCAAGTTTACAAAGCCTCACAAACAAATAAATATGTCAAATCAAGATCTTGAATGATTCCCACCATCACCAAGATTGGATGAAGTTTGACCTGTAAGTTCTTTTCTTTCTACATTATTTCCCAGATTGTTCTGACAAAAAATGCTGCACCAAATTTATGAGGGAAAAGAAATGCCCATGCATGTATATGCTCTACCAGCCATTATATTAACTTAAACTATTACAAATCAGAAATTCCTATATTTACAAGTACTTGAAGAACCAAAAATTGCACCAAAGATACCCCTCAGCAAGGAAGCTCTCTCAACATGTGAGGATCAATCAACCTGAACGAAACTCGCATCCAACTGAAATTTGAAAGACAAAAACATTATAATATTCTGAAATTGGTTAATGAAAAATCTCACCAAAGAAAAAGGATAAGGAAAGGAATGGTTAACGACTGTATCCGCAAAATGAATGGAGAACTTACACGATGGGACAATCTGATAGCCAAGAAAAAAAAAAAAAAAAAAACTAGGAGAACAACTGAATTAATGGCCTGCAAAATGAATTGAAAAGTATGACTGTTAGAAAACCAAAAAAAAAAGGGAAAAGAAAAGAGCCCAGCTACATAATTGAATCAGACAAACTACATGAATGTAGAGGGACTAACATCAAGAGTGCCCCTAGTTTAGGGAAGGCAGGAAAAAAAAGCCACTGTTGAGCAGAACAGATGTTACTAGCAACCCTAAATAAGCCCTGCTAATGAATGACCCGAAAGTATTTCAATCCAATATTACACCGTTTCATTGGTTAGTTTGCAGATTCATGACAAATCAAATGATCCTTGCCCTTCACTGATCGCATAAAGCAGTTTCTTGTACATAATTTCCTGTTCAAATGAAGAAAGCATCAGGTAAAATGAAATAGCAGAAACATTTTTCCAGTCTGAAGCAAGTATATCCTCTTTTTTCCCTTGGGAGGAAGAATTTCGTCAAATGGCGGGATATAATGAGGAAACTCAAAAACAAATTTATTCAACAATACCTTAGTCGAGTAAGGGGGAAGCTTCAGGTAATTAGCACATGTCATCACACTAGGTAAGTCATCATCTGCAGATTCTGATGACCCAATTCCATTGGACGTCATGTTACTAGTGGTTGAAGAATGCTGCACCCAAATATGCAAGCAAAAAAATGGTATGAGTTATCTGCAAGCAACATGAAAACTAATTGGATAACAATTGAAAGCTCTCGATGACATTTGCATCTAGTAGTACACCTTTCTGACAATAGTCAACTTTGGATTCAGCACTGCCAGACCACCAGGTGGAAGCCGAGGTGCACCAGTAACAAACTGACAGAAGGCCCGCTGCTGCTCTGGGGTGAATTCTCCCATAATCTCAAGTAACTAAAAACATCATAACAAGCCAACATATGACAGTATGAGAATCAAATGACAAGTCCTAAATCTAGGATGAGAACTGGTGTGGAAAGAAAGCATACATTCAAAATTGCAGGGCTCTTGGCAGTATATCCATGATCAAATTTTATGTGATCTACTAGTGTCTCAGCCTGCATAAAAGAGAAATTCGATACTAGGCCATGCAAAAATACATGGAATATACAGGTTTCAATTGTGTCTTGTCACACACAGAACGCAAAAATAAAGATTACCTTCCACAACTCTCTACGGCCACAAAGCAAATAGTCTAATTCATGTGGAGAAAATATTTGTAGAGTTGAGATATCAAAGACCTGAAAGTCACAGAACAAAAAGGGAAAAAGAAAAGTTAATAACCTAACATTCTCTAATACAAAAACAAGCACTACTAGAAGCAACTAAAGATACTAAGAGAAGATGGTGCTTCAATTAAAAAAGTAGAATGCGGAAAAATAAAATGAAATCACAACCTCGATAACATAAAAATTGACAGATAATCAGATATATCAAAAGGTGACCACAATTACAATAAATGGGGAAATAAATTAGCTTCAGCAGTTCCTGCCAAATATAATATCAAGGCAGCATGACCCTTTCCATATGCATAATAATGACTCATTAGCCAACTTCAAAACAGAAAATTTCAACCAAAAAAAAAAAAAAGAAGGCCCACACGACATTAAAGCGTCTCATTTTTTCAAAATTTATGGAATTCAATAGAAGACCATAATAAGTTGCTAACCTCATTAAACCCAGCTCTAAATGCTTCCATTTGTCGCCAAATCCCTGTTTTGACAGTGGCATCCACGATCAGGGATATGTACTCCCCCAAGTTATTGATATCCACCTTGCAAATTTCAACAAGTATTTATTTTAAAACTACTGTAACAAACACAAAAACTAATGGAAAAGCTTGTGCAGAGAGAGAGAGAGGAAATTTTCAAGGAGGCACGTGGATTACATTCTCATCAACCGGTTTTAAAGTATAATCTGGATAACCAGGAAGGGTGAAATTCAAACATAGATCCTCAATTGGAACCCCACGGAAACGTAAATCAGCAATTTCGTCACAATTATGAACACCCATTGATTCAAGGCATTCTTTCCGGCAAACAAGGGCTTGCAATTCTTGCAAGGTCTTCCCAAATTCGGCATCGAAAGAAAGAATGTCATGCAAATCAAGCTCCTGCAGTGATCAGGGAAGGAAGAAAGTTGTGATCAGAAAAGACTATGCTACTTTTGAACTAAATTGACACAACTATTCAATTAGCATACTTGAGCAAGCACAAGCTTATAAAATGCTGTCGACAAAGGTAGGTCTAAAAGTCGCCCATCTTGAATAGCTTTGGCCATCACACGCCCAATCATCCGGAAATATGCATTGACTTTACAAAATTGACTACCATCAGAAACATCAGCATGTGGAGGCCAGGGACGGGGGAATAACCCAAGACAAGCATTTACAAGATCTCTCTCGCCGGCAGCTGCACCTGGTCCAGTGGTATTATCGGTTTTCCTATTTTTCTGTTCATCTCCATCGACTTCCATTAAAGGTTTCTCTGGTGAAGAACCTGTTCTCCACATTCCTAGTCCAACTTTCTGCAAATCATGACTTAAAAGGGTATAGAATTCCAAGGTAGGACCCAATCCAGTTCCAACTTCACCAAAATATTCTACTTCAAGGACAGCCTTTTGGCTGGAGTACATTTCCATGACTTTTGCAGCAGAATCCAGTATGCGATTCCGAGAGACACGAACTTTTTGGCGCTGTAACCTTCCAACTCTCACCTCTCTCTCATTGATTGAGCTATGACCATCAGCACCTTGCTGCTGCTGAAGCCGATACAAAGCACGGGACAATCCAAAAGCAGTAGAATAGAAGTACTGACGACGAGTTTCAAAAGGAAACAGGAAAGAGCATGCTTTTGTCAACTGGTAACACCATGAAGGAAGACTACCACTGCAAAGTGCAAGCGCATCCTGGATTTGTCGGGCCAATTTTGGAGTGAGCTTACTATTGATAAATTCCTCAGGAGAAACCCTTACAACAGTTGCACTTAGCTCATCTAGACTCAAGATCTTCCCTTCAGAGAAACTGTCAGTCGCTGCCTGGACTCTTAAACGCGGTGCAAGCTGATTCAAACCCTCCAATACACGCAACAGAGCCAATATATTATAAGTAGGATTGTTTTTCTCCAGATCACAAGGAAGCTCCCCTTGCAAAATGCTATCAAGAAGTGATATTCGATGCGGTGAGGATTTAATGTTGGATTTAGATGTAGACCCTGCTTTGGTAGATTTAAAAGAGGTTTTAGAATTTGAAACCCTGACCAAACCCTTATCAGTTTGGCTGTCTGGTCTTTGGTATGTGACGGTATAAACATCACTCCACAGCCTGCCTCCATCACTGGACACAGAATCATTGCCAGTATACCTCTCAGCATCTTCCTCATCCAACGCAAGCTGACGCTGGATAGCTTGATAGATAGTCAAATGCCTATTAAGTTGCTTTCCACCTGCAGAAAATATTAGTCTAGGAGGATCATTAGAACCAGCCATGGCAGCAGCAGCAAACGACATTGCACTCCTTGAACCAAAAGAATTCCCACTCCTAAACTCGGTAGAATCTGATGCCCTAGCTGTAGCGGCTCTGCTACTAAAGCCAGAAGCTGGATTGGCCTGGCTATCACCTGTTCCAGTGTCAACAAGACTATCCTCAGCTGGGTCGCCCAGTTTAACATCGTGTACTTTGTCTGGTACACAAAGTGGAAGAGTATCATCCCTTAGGACCTAAAAATGACAACAAAAATCCATCAGGTGAAGTGCAAATGAAATTGTTAGCGGGTGCCTTGCAGGTTTTACCATTCAATTTCAAGAGCGTTTATGTGCTTGATCAAAATTGTTGGATTAGTTATTCTGCAAGTGGGATGGTCAGCCTTGCGAAATGACTCGACCAATTCCCTCCCACAATTCTCCTCTCCTCTCGTGAAATATATAGTGGGGTTGGATGAATACAAGGAAACCCCCTCCTCCTCCTTTTTTTCCTTTTTCTCTCTTCTCCCATTCACAAAAACTCTTTCTAATATCCTGGTCTTAGAGATCTCATCCATTTCAGATGCAGATAGTGGTACTCTCTCCAACCTAGAAACATACTCCCACTTAGAAACCCCAACTGTATAAAGAGACAAGTATTTAATGCATTCACACTTGAAAAGAATAAATTTCTGCTTTAACATTAGTTAACACATTTACATCTAGCGAAACAGAGCAGGCATCCAAAAAAGGAACCACGGATTACCTTTCCTTTCTTTAGGGCAGATTGAGTACTTCATTTAGGCATAGTTTGATTAATAGTTTGACAATTATATTGCTGCCAAAATCTCAGTTTCTTACCCTTAAAACATGAGGAAATTACTCTTTGAATTCTAATAGAACAGACCAACAGAACCTTAATTAATTTAAAAGCTCCTAACCACAAAGCACTAGAAGTAATGGATAACAATATGATTGCAGAACTCAACACATACTGAAATAAGAAAAAATACAAGATTTGGAAAACACAAAAAGAGAACCAGAAGAATTTAATAACATACATCGTCATGGTCATCATCATCATCATCATCATCTGAGATATCATCATCTTCAATCACCAACGCATCATCAATCTCCATGGGAGATATATCCAACTCCTCATCCTACGCAGCAAAAATATAGTTCATATACCATGACTCACAAGGTATATATAAAATACCATTCTATGAATGTGAACCAAAAATTCAGAGTCAAATCTGCAGTTTAGTTCATCCCTGAAACTACTGCAAATGCATTTCGATATTCAAGAGCATAATAGCATATACAGCATACCTCCGAACTAGAGTCTGTGTTTACCGGCTTCATTGGTGCATCTTCATCCATAGCTGCTTTTTTACGGGTGGCATTTCTTGTTTGAGGTCCTCCTGTCTCCTCCTGAGCCGGATTCAGAACAACTTTACCTTTTCCCTTCGATACGCTTGTGGTCCTCTCCCGTGCTGTATCCTTCTTGGCCATGTCTCCTATTTTTAAAGACGATCTGGATCTAGTAGAATGACGATGAGAGATTGAAGTAGATGGTGATAAAGCAGCGGCTCCAGTAGGTGTGGTCCCAGACTCGGAGTTACCAACAGATGCTGAGGGCTTCTGCCCAGACTCACTTCGCTGAACTCGAGGCCATATAAATGCTTCAACAGCAGCTAAACTTGCTAATGGATCAATTAGTATAACATTCGAAGAAAAATCACGGAGAGATTTTTCTCCTTGGGCTCTACAGAGGCGCAACTTAAAAGGCTGAGATAAAGCACTAAGACCAGAAGAGAGACGGGTGCTTCCACTAGTTGAACTAGAGGTATGGCTCAGCACAACCGGAAAACGTTCTAATGAGGACAAAGCATTTTGGAGCTTCTGAACTAAGCCACTCATAGGAGCCACAGTTCCTCCATCAAGATTGGAAGGGAGGGTGACTGCAACAAACGACTTGTATCTTTTGATTGCTTGTTGTCGAAGCTTGGGCAGGTTAGCTTCCGAAATTTTCTCCTTGGAGAAGTATCCACATGAAAAGTAATTCAGCAAAGCAGCAATAACTCCACTCCCAATAAACTCAAAAGTGGACACACCATCTCCTTTGGTTAGTTCTGCTAGCATCTCCAATATCACCTCAACCAAGTTCTCCTCTTTGCTAGCAGAAATATCAGAAAGGCGAGGCCCAGAGACTTTAGACTTTCCCTTTGTTTTTGTCTTTTGATAATCAACCCCAGCATTCAACTTCATGCAGAGATTCTTTAAATGTAGAAGATCATCTGTAACTCCAACTTCAGTGGCCCCAGGATCTGAAGGGAAGTATTTATCTTTGAAAACTTTAGCACGCGCAGTGACTTCCATACGAATGCTAGAATTGACCGTGGGAATTTGTACAGAAGTTGGAGGTGAACCAACGCTTGGAACTGGATCTTTTGATTCTTCAGTGGACCTCACATCTGGACTTGAATTGCCACCACGTCGTCGATAACGCCTAGAACGTGACGATGTTCCAGGTATAGAATCATTCACTTTCCCACTGGAAGATGGTCGGGAAAGAGCATTACTAGGGGACCCAGCTAATATAAGTGCATCAACAGCATGAACCACACCTTCTCTCACAAACATCTTGGAGAAAGTTCCAGGAAGCTTTTCCATTAGAATCTCTGCTATCTGAAGGGCCGGAACCAAGACTTGAGGATCTTTCCATGCTAACACTCCAGCTAAGAAACTGGGAACCAAATGAAGAACTACCAATAAGAACTTACACAGACTAAGCATGTAAAAAATTGTGTGAATAAAAATTCATAAAATTTGTCTACCTAGATATGTTTGTCACACCATTTAAAGACTGGATCATGTCTGCTGTGCTGAAGTACATCAATTTCCCAATAACTGAGAGACATTTGTGGCGAACAGGGCCATTCACGCTGGATCCATATATCTGCTTGATGAAATAATAATAATAATAGCACTACTCTATATGGCGAGTAATAACTAGATGCAAACCAAGTTATATGAAAGACTAACCAACCTGAATTAGAACGGGAAGAAGGTCCATTCCAAATTGCTGCAGAAGTCTTGGTTGATCATTTAACAGTTTTTCACGAGCTGAAACCTCAGGCACACTTCCATCTGTATCTTCTTGTTTGCCAGAACTACTGACAGGAGACTTCTTTGGTAATGATCCTTTAACAAATAAATTATTGCCGGCTGGAAGATATATGGTTCCGTGGGGCAGTGGAGGTAGAAGCTCATTTGCAAGGTTCACAATCTCAAAAATCTAAGCGGTAGAATGAAAAACAAAGCATTCAGATATCCATGCAAGTAACAGGCAAAACTCATAACTCGTCAATATCATAATGAAAGTAAGATGCAGAATGCTAGAGTGTCAAAAATAAAACTCCTGGAGAAGCAAGAAACATTTTCATAAAAGAAGAAATGTAATTTTAATTATCACTGATGTATAACTATATCTCTTTTCTTTCCCAAGCCATCATTTAGTAAGCAAGTTAAGATGAAGCAATCTAACGTGGGAAGTTTATAACTGATTATGGATAATCAGATCTGATAATGTTAAAAGCACGAATAAGTTCTGTTTTTCCTACTATTATAGACTTAATTGTGGTGAATAACTCTGCTTCTTTGCCCAGCTCAAATATTCTTTTTGGATTCTCAATGGCACCATAACAACCAACCATTCAAAATTTAGACATACCAAAATACAGAACACTAATTTTTTTTTTTTTTTGTTGGGGTCAGAACAATAATGAGTTTGAGTACCACCAAAGAATTGCAGAGAGAATGCGAAAGAGAAAAAGATGCAACAAATACCTGCTCTGGTGGTCTACTTAAGGCAGGTGAAACAGATATGTTTGCAACAAGGCCAGAACCTGATAGTATATCTTTAAGAATGCCACTGATTCCAAGAACTAGCAAAGTTTTGGCTCCTATTGGAGACCCACTTGAACAGCTTGAAAGCAGTCGGATTAAACCCTGCATGTCTTTTAAGTCACAACTGAAGCTTTCTAGATACGAGATCATTCAACTTGGAAAGTGGAAAGAAGAACTAAATCTACCGTGAATGTGGATGTGCTTAGGGATGCCTGACCACCTCCAGAGTTACCGGCAGAAATAAGTGAAGCAGCTTGTGTAACCAACCCATGATGGCAAAGTTCATCCAGCTTATCTGGAGATGATGTAAACGCTTCAGAAATTCGTGTCAAGCAAACAGAAGCTTCCTCTAACACCTAAAATCAAAACAGAGAACACACGAGAATACACAAAACGAAGGGAAAAAGTAAGTCAAGGAAGGGAATACCTAACCAGAATTAATTGCCTTAGATTCTAAAATCACAAAATAATGACCTCACCTTTGCATCGTGATACTGAAGAAGGTTTATCAGCAAGGGAACAGCTTCCATCACAAAGTCAGCTGCATCTGAAGGGAGTTTCTTGCACATATTTGCGGCAGTAGACAATGCCACTCTCTGAGACAGTGTTTCAGAATAAAAAATAGCATCATTAAGAAAGGCTTTGGCAAAATAGGATTCTGTTCTATTAAAACACATCAACTGAGAAAGTTGATACTTTCAGTAAATGAGTTACCTGGACTCCTGTGGAGAAGAAATCAAGATATGAAAGTACTGCCATAAGTGCACCACCTCTCAAGCAAGCAGTAGGGTGTTCGTGTGATATCTTCTTAAGAGCTTGCAATGACTGTTTCCATCAAAATAAGCACGGATATAAGAAGACAAAACTTAAAAACAAGAATGTTTGGTTCAGTTTTCTAAAAACAGAAGTTCTCAAGAACCAAAAAACTATTTTTAGACACCTATAAAAGTCAGTTTGGACATTTTTTAACTTGGTTTTCAGAAACTGTCAACCAAACAGGAATTTGTACAGTTTTATGATTTTTTGTTCTCAAGAAACAGAAAACTGGACCGAGCAGGCCTATTTCCCAATTGTTACAAAGTCCAACATTGTCAAATGAGATTTCAGTGAAGAAATTAAATTAGTAATTAGTAAAAGAGATTTACTAATAATTCAGTATTATTCATTTGAATTTCCTTCTATAAACGTATGGTCAGAGCTCACCTGTTCAGCCAAGTCCATGTACTCAATTGTAAGCAGTCGAGCAACGAAGCATTGCACTGCACCATAATGCACAACTGCAGCACACGACGAAGGGAGCACATCACAGAGGTGGGTCAGTGCCCTGGCTGCAAGAAGCATGATATCGGGATTGCTCTCGTGGTTAAGCAGCCCCACGAGCACCGGTACAAAGGACTCCACTGGAAATGTGCTAAGTGACTCCTCTGTCGCAATACATAGCATCTCACAAAGCTGCGTCAATGCCTCAACTTGCCGCCCTTCCTCCCCATCTGCCCGTAACCCCGATAGAATCTTCATCTGCCCGCCTTTTCTTCCCATTGCCGACGATGGAAGCAATTCATCCAATCCTACACCCAATTTCCGAAGAAGCCCTTGGAGTGCACTACTTGCAGAAGTCAAATTCTGATGCAAAATCCCCTCATCACCATCACTGTCATTATCATCATCGTCTGCGCCACCGTCTATATTCAATCCTGAGCTCCTCTCCGTATCCCTATCTCTAACCCTAGCCCTAACTTCATGCTCCTTTTCCTTCCCTTTATCTGAATTGTCCTTATTCGAACCGTTATTCTTTCCACGTCGGCCACCGGACTCGCGACGAGGGACAGACCCGGATGGCTCGTTCGTTGATTCCATCGGTGTAGAAGACGGAGAAGGCAATGAATTTTTGGTACGAGAAGCTCTGGAACGAGTCGTGGTCGACGAAACAACGACTGTGTTGGCGTTGGCGTTGGCGGTGGCGGTGGCGGGGACTGAAGACGAAGTTGCAGAGAGACGAGTTCTTTTCCTGGAACGGGTGGCGGGACCAGAGGATGAAGATGAAGGGGCTGATGAATTGGCCTCCTCCCGCTTCCGGCGCCGAGTTTCCATACAAAACCCTAATCCCTCAATTACGATTCTGCTCGCCGATAAACGGCGATCAAGAAATTGTCATCGTATCAAACCCTAGAATTCAAATTCAATCCTTTTCTAAAAAATTGTTATAGAAAATTTAGCAAATCAGGTCGATGATTCACAAAACTCCCAATCGCAAATCTGATCATGCGAATTGAATTTTAAATAGAACAGAAAACTATTGCGATTGACTGATGACTATGGGTGGTGGTGTACTTGTTTTTCTCTCTATATAATATACGACTATCTTGTAAGCTTGGGTGTGGTGAATACTTCTCTGGTTCAATTCTTGTTATCTATATATATTCCTTTTGCTCTATTCTGAGGCGGCTATGTAGACCGGTTGTACGCTTTTGCGTTGCGTTTGGGTTGGACCTTAGGCATTGTTGTATACTGTGCAAATATTTATTATTATATATATATATATATATTTAAATTGAGTAAATAGAGATATTTTGTCAATTTAAAAATTAAAATTCTTAAAATACCCTTAATATATACATTCATTATTAGAAGTATTTTGAAATTTTTATAAAAATTAATCGTCAAGAATAATTATATATATATTTAAATATTAGTGATTTATATGCACATATAAATTGTAAGGTGTATTACATTATATATAGTAAGGGATTTTTTTTATTTTTTTTGCACATTAATATATAATACTGTTACATTCTCGTAAATAAATGTGTTGCTTCATTTGTAAAAATACACAATAAAATATTGCACAAATATTTGTATTAATGAACTAAAATTTTAAATGATTTTTCTTTTTTTATCAAATTTTTTATTTGGTTTGAATATCTCAATTGATATGGTTAAATATATTTATTTCAATTGATATATGGGTATCACGACTTAGAAGATGTTGTGTTTGTTGGTGCAATTTTAAATCATAAGTTACTAAAATTTCATGTATCTTCAAATAAAAAGGGTTTACATTTTAATTTTCAGATTTTTAATTTATAATTATCACTTAAAATTTTAACATTTAAAATTCGACTTCTAAAGTTATAATCATGTTCAATTTTTGAAAAAAAACACGAACAATAGAATCGTTCTCAAGAGTATTTTCACCCACTTAAATGTAGGGCTGCAAATTGGGCGGGTTCAACCCAGTCTAGTCCCAACCCAACCTCAACCTGAATCGGGTTGGGTTGGGCCAACCCGAATTATACTTAACATGGGTTATAATAAAAACCCAGCCCGAATATTTTTGGGCCGATCGGGTCAGGTTGACGGGTTGATTTTTTAAAAATTATTTACATATTTTTTTTTGAAAATATATATATTATATAGATATATATATATATATATTATTAAAAAACAAAAAAAATTTAGGGCAAATCATTTCAGCCTCCCCTGTCTCATTCTCAACTCTCTCTCTCTCTCTCTCTCCGACTTCAAACTACAAAATCTATAAGAATCAGAAGTTTAAAATCCATATATTTCAGATCTGTCTGCAAGAATCAAAAGTTCAAAATCCATATATTTCAGATCATTTCAGATTGTTCAAAAAATCAAAACCCATATGTTTCAGTTTCCATCGCCGGCTGTTCCAGTTCTTGCCGTTCGCAAGCTTCAGCCGTCTCAAGCTTGCCCCCCTCTCTCTCTGCAACTGCTAACTTGTATGTATGGGTTTTGTTTTTATTTTTGGAAGTGACGGCGGCGGCGGTGGATCGGCTGAGGACGGCGGCAGAGAGAGAGAGAAAGAGAAAGAAGAGAAAAGAAAAGAGAAAAGAGAAAAAAAAAAAATTTCGGGCAGAAAGAGAAAGAGAAAGAAGAAAGAAGAGAGAGGAGAGAGAGAAAAAAAAAAAAAAAAAAAAATCGGGCAGAAAGAAGAAAGAAGAAAGAGAAAGAAAAGAGAGGAGAGAGAAAAAAAAATTTGGGGGAGGAGAGAGAAAAGAGAAAAAAAAAAAAAAATTTAATTTTGGGTTTTGGGTTGGGTTCGGGTTGAGCCCGAGCCCAACCCGAATTGTTTGGGTTTTGACAAAACCCAACCCGAGCATGAACCTGATTTGTAAATTGCGTATCCAAATTTTAAAATTTTTGGGTTGGGGTTGGGCTGGGCTGGGCTAACCCGCCCAACTTGCAGCCCTACTTAAATGTCAAGCACACAGGACATATGAGAATCCAAATTCAATGCATGCTTCAAATATAGCAGCAGTATTGTGGTGGTTTAGATAAATATCTTTATATTGTGGTGGTTTTAAATAAATATCTTTAACATTAGTTTTCAAAGGAGGATAAGTCAGTGGAAAAGACCTGGGTCAGAAGCCCAATTAAGCTCCTTGAGGGAGAAGAAAGCAGTCAAGCGGAACTAATGGGCCCAATTGGCCCAAACCAAACTGTGAGTAGAAAAATAGCACGAGTTCCGAGGATTCCATTTAAAGTAAAGCAATTTCCAATTAATATAGCTACAAAAGACATGGGCCAGAAGCCCAATTACTCATGGAGTGGAGGTAGCATTTAAGCCCAACTAATGGATTCAACTGGCCCAAACTAAACACAGAACAAAATTTTGGCTGCTTGATAGTTTGTGTACAGTTAATTAGCTGCTGCGATAATTATTATGGCCCCATCATTTTCCACCGTGTTTGGTTCCCGAGAAAAAATTGAAAAACTAAAAAGAAAATTAAAAAAGAAACAAAAATCTTAAATTTTGAGTTATGCAATGGCGTCAATCCGACGACGGTGGCCCGGATGGGTCCTCGATCAGGAAGGAAGGAAAGGACACATTTATCAACTCTCAAACAACGATGATTGGCATAACTCTTCTGTCGACTTTGGGCAGTGCGAATGCGATCCCTAATAAGAGTATTCTTCTCATAAATATCCTTAATAAACTCAGGATCCAAGAATCTGCTCTCGCCAACCACCATCCAACCCCTTTTTTTTCCAATTCCATACATCCAGCTTTAAAAAGAAGCAAGATGCGATTTTCATCATCTATTTGAATGTGATTTAAACATGGCAATTCATCTTTTTGGTAAAGGTTCTTCTTTCCTTCTGGCTGTAATACATTTCTCGACTCTCATTTTATTATCTCGAAGATTTACATCCAGCTACAATATCATTATAATATATGGAATTAGGGGAGTCATGTGTTGGGACTTTATTAGTGTCTACTGTCTTTTATCATTATATTTTTTTGGGTAAAAATATGTTTAGACTCATCTTAAATGGTTTTGTCTAATCTTTTCAAACCTAGGTTGGACATTCAAAGGGTAATGCACTTTTTTACTGTATTGCACCACACTGCACGTGGCTTAGATTACTAGCTTATATATATAAGGGTTAACTGTTGTTTTTTATTTTTTATTTTTTATTTGCTAGTATTTGGAGGCGTTCAAAAAATGCTTTTGTTCTTGTAAGCAAGCACGAAGCTTGGAATGCCTATTTTCATATCACTATAATGATTTTTCCATAATTCTTAAATGTGATGCCAAAATAACAACCTTGTCCATTCCCACTTTCAACCTTAACTCTGTTTTCGAATCTTCAAACCTTTACATGGTTCTTTTGTTTTAGGCACACAACCACACACTGTTGCATGGAAAATGTTTCGTTTCATTCTAAACTCCCATTTTTGGTTAATGCTTTTTATGTTTTACTTTTATTTTGTTAGTTTTCAACATTACATTGGCATTGACAACCTCTCGATGTTTGAAAAGTGCTCATCCAATTGACAATTTCTTATCAAAAGTGCCTCTGCGTAGAGGCTGATTCTGTAACCAAGAAGTTCCGATGGATAATTCAAATCAGTTTCATGGTAAATGCTGAGTGCGTGAAGTGAGTGCAGCAAGAGTACCAACTACATCTTCATTCGGAGGTTTATTGTAACAGACATGAAGCTTAATATCATCATGCAAGGGTTTACATCTAAGTATACTGGAATTCAGCTTCCATTTGGGATTAAACTACTCATACTTTATTCATAAAATAAAATAAAAACAAAAACAAAAAAACGAAATCTGCTTTAGCTTGTACGTTGTTGCAGTTGAGGTCACTGACAGCCAAATCATTGACTTTGTTCCTGGTAGAAAGGTGTGCTAATGTGTTTTGTATCGAAAAAATAGGTTGTCATGATATAATTGGTCATTGTTAAATTCTGTTTTCTTTTAGGATTTAAATCTCGCCCATGGAAGGAGTGAAGGACGACTTCCAGATGCTACTGAAGGTTTTCCAGTTCTACTTTGACATGAGTTCTTATGTTTGTCATGAACATTTGTGAATTATGGCAGTATTGGATTTCTGTAGTTTGACCGATGAGAATTTAATTTCTTGATTGCAGTATTGATATTTTAACATTTTATTAAATCTAAGAGAAGAGTGTATAATAGAAATTAATGGAAAAAGAGAATTCATGTGGCTGATCCTATTCATATGGGATAAAGACAAGGATGATAATGACCCCCTCGTCTCCCCAACGAGAAAAATAAAAGAAGGGCTAATGGTTGTTTGTTTCAAATGTTTCTTTTTCGTCTTGTTGGCAATCTAATGGAGTCTATAGTAGCACGTGTCGTTATGTCAATAATTGGTGGCATTAGAAAATGAATCAAATCTCTTCAATAGACGTTTGCTGTCCAAAGAATCGAAAAATGAAATATATATGGTTCTACCTATCAAATCTCTTCAATAGACGTTTGTTGATAATTCTAAGTGCTATTTTGAGTGAGATATTGCATTGCTAATTTTGTAATTGGCTAAGGATTGGACAAAAAATGAAATATATATGGTTCTACTTATCAATATATATATATATATATATATATGGTTCCGGGTAAAATGTAAATAGTATAATGCTTGTTTTTACTCAGAAGATGGGTTGAAATCCTAGAGTCAACAGTTGATTTTGACTTTTATTTGCCTGCATGAGTTAGTTATAATTGTAATTAGTATTATCTGATGATTGTTAGCATCATCTTTTTTATTTTATTTTCTTTTATTTTCAGGTGAAATAGCGTCATCATTGTTGTTTATGTGTTATTATTAATATGCTATGTCAGTCCATGAAGACAATTGGTCAGTAGAACTCTGCAATCTGAGAGACCTATTCCTTGAATCACCCTGTGAGTTCATGGAATGACTGAATATCTTCCATTCTACCTTCTTTTTACTAAATTCTTTCATTTTTAAGCATACTGAAGGCTTGGAAGAATTGTGTTTCTACATGATTATTTTTGTGTACGATTTAACAGGGTTTCATGGCGCACCTTATGGAAGTTAAATCTAGCATTTTCTCATGTATCTGGGTATTATGAAGTAAAGTGGATTATAAAATAGCATCACAAAAGCAAAAATGATGACATTATATATCACTGCTCAAGACAGTAATGATTACATT